CATGCAATTATGCCAGCAAGGCCAGCCAACCACAATGGCGCTCGTACGGGTGAGTAACCTATTCAGGATGGCAAGCTGGGGGATTCGCTGAATGACTCGATGCGGCTGTTTTTGTCATTTCTCCTAGGAGCCGGCCTCGCCAGTCACTGAGATGCTCTCCGCCATCGCGAATGCCTTCCGCTTCTGTTTGTCCGCTTGCCTGTCTGTCTCTGCTGCCCCGGCATGAGTACCGTACAGGCTCAAGCATTCAATGCCGTGGGCACGGGGCGCGGAGCTGGGGATCGGCCTTTGACAGGACTTGAGACGGACAGGACTTGTACGGAGTACATGAGCTCCATACGGCCGCTCCATAGCATCGCTCGGCCGATAGCTGTACCTGTACAAGTGTCAACTGGCGCGGCTGCCGATATCCGCGGTAGGATCTGCATGCAACAGGCCCTGTTCGCATATTGGAGGGGACGTACGGAGTAGCACTGCTCCATTGTTGTGTATGCCTGTACAAGTAGCAAGACGGCCGCTAAGTTCTGACTGGCTTCTCGAAGACGATGATTCGGGGATCAGCAGCGTCAGCCAAAGGACACATGTCGATGCAAGGTTCTGTTCTAATTCTGCTTACTCGTACTGGCTAGTGCTCGCACAGGCAAGAGGAAAAAAACTGATTCAGAGATCCAAGCGGGAGAGTTTTTCCGGCTCAGGGTACCCGTTTGATTAGGTAGATAGGCGAGGCCGCAGGATAATCACCGTCACTGGACAATACGGATACAAGTGGGCGCCTGGCAGTTGAGAATACTCCGTAGCACGAGGGCACGAGGGCACTTTCGTAACGTTAACCTGGCAAGGAGCGCACTGACCAGAGGCGTTTGAGATCACAAAGTGTCATGAAGCAGCTGAGCGAGCTTCGCCTCAACGCCCCCAAGCCAAAACAGACGCCGGCCGCTTGGGTAAGACCGAGCGTGGCGCGCCGGTGGTCAAGCAGCGGTTGTGGCCGCAGGACGGAGATGTTGGCGCGAGCCAGCCGCTACCAGCACTCATACGAGTACACAGACAGGACCAGCACCATCCTACCTAGACCCAGCTCCCGGCTCCCACTCCCATATCCCACTCCCACTCCCACTCCCGGGGTCTCCTGGCCAAACAGATGCTGTCCGGTCTTGTCTGCTTGGAACCGACTCTGGAAACGTGGAGCGCATTGCCCAACTTGGACTTAACTTGGACGACAGGGAACACTCAACGCATCGATTAGGCGGCATAAAGGAGCGGCAAAAGGAGTCTGCAACAGGAGCAGGAATGCAGCAGCCGGTTACTCCGTCGCTCGGTTCTTGTCCATCAACGTTTGCCCAGCCATGCGGTGCCGAAGCCTCCGTGGCGGCCATGCCTGAGCAGCCGGGGGGAAAAGCGTGGAAGCCAAGGCACTGACGATAAACAATGGAAACTTGACTTTCTGGCATAGCTCCAGTCTTTTGGTGGATACGTCGAGCGCTAATCGCTGGAACATGCCGTTTTCTGCAGCATCTGCCGCGGTGAGGTGAGCAATGCTGAGTATAATATTGCGGTGGTACAGTGGGTGAGTGGTGGCAGAATGAAATGCTCAGGCCAACGTGGCATGAGGCTGCAATATGCGGTTGAGGCATAGATCAAAATGCATTGAAGCCGCCGATATCAATTCGTTTAGGTGGTGATTCTGCTGTCTCTTCCTAAGTTGGCATGCTGGGACCTTATGCGGGCTCTTGGCAGCAGCACCGGCGGCACAGTGTGGATGGGCGCTTTCCCGAAATGGCGATTCGAGGCTGCGTGACGTCGTGCCTGCCAGCCAGAGCGGCTTGAGCAGTCGACATGGAAGGAGGTCGGGTCTGGGCGATGCCAAGATTGGTACAGGTACAGCCCGCGCTTGTACATGAGCATTTCTTTGCGCGGCGCTTTGCTGCGGTTAGGTACCTAGTACTACTGCACACAGATGCACACGCACTTGTACAAGTATGAGTACACCGTCTCCCTTGCCGAGAACTTGTCCATGTACAAATGGGTATAGCATTGGGACCTGGTTCCATGTTCTCTTGCACTTCTCGCGCTTGCAAGGGCCAAGGTGCAGGTGCTATGTAGACTAGAGGCTGCAGGTGCAGGTGCAGGTGCGGGTTCAGGTGCAGGCAAGTGCAGGCAAGTTGCAGGCAAGTGCAGGGCTCGGGACAAGCAACCTCGACCGTTGACGACAAATCCACCGCCAAGCCCGGCACAGTACGTGGAGCCCATTGGTGGACGGTGCCCTGCCCAGCCTCTCTGGTCTGGTGGGTGCATCTCATCTTGGAAGCCGCCGACTTAAGCTCCCGAAAACTTTTCGGCTAAGCACTACAAGTACTAGCACCGAGATAATGGCGCCATGTCTGGTAGATGAACTCTGGGCTGTGGTTGATGGTGCCGAAGATGCTTTTTTTCAGCTCTTTGCCATGCCCATTCGCCGAGTTACTGGGAGGCGAATATCGTGAAACTCAAATCAACAGCTTTGACGTTTGACTCTGTCCTTGCATGTGCTACCTAACCTTATGATCATGTATGTGCCGTCTCTGCGTGCTGTCTGGGCGTGCGTCTGTGTATGTTTTGACTTCATGTTGCCCTCTTGCTTGGTGGCCGTTGATAGTAGTAGTAGAAGACTATTGGCGTAGCGCGGCCACTTGCCAGCTCCTGTTGGAAGAATCTGGGCGCACAAAAACCTTGAGGACCATCCATCGTCGCCAACTGGTGAACCAGACAATTCCGTAGCCCCGCGGCGCCCGACTCTTCCCACGATGTGCTGGCACGACCACCGGCCAACCAAGCATCTGACGCTCGCCTGATGGCCTCCGAACCGCGCAGCTGTTTCATCCTGACTAGACATGGGCCTAAAGCTGTGTCATGGCCAGAAGAGCAGCATGAAGCTAGGCCCAGCCCAAGAGGCAAGGGTACAGGTAAGAAAAAGCGACGACGACGGGCAGCAGGCCCTCTGTTCCGGCTCGAGTCCAACGAGTCGCTACTGGCACTGGCAGCAGAACTACTGCGGTAGCACTCGGTAGCCCGAGCTTGTCTGGTCTGGCTTGGTGCCGTCCCCCACACGCAAAAGCACTTGACCCTGGTCGCAACCAAGCCGACGGCTCGCCCCAGTTGTTATTTTTACTTCCTTCTGGTGCGCGGGCATCGTGCCATGTGCGTCATGCCTCTTGGGAGCTGTGTGTCTGAGCAGCCAAGCCTCAAGGCCGTCACACCCCTAGCGCCGAGATGCTGAGCTATGCTCTGCTGGGCATCATCATCAATCATCCATCACCCGCCCCCCCTCTCCACCAGACAGCTGTGCTGTGCCCAGCCCTCTGCCGCCCTCTGCCGCTTCTCGTCCGCTGTCGTCTCATGGTCTGGCGTGTTGCCCGTTTGGCTTGGGCTGGACGCACTGCAGGGCTCGGTCTGGTTTCGGCGCCTTTGGTGTGGTGGGCGAGTTTTGCGTGAAGGTCGAAATTGTGTCGATGGAATATCATGGCGTAGTTGTATTAAGCGAACGCGGGTAACGGGGCATGGTGAAGTTTTCTTTGATGAGTGTATTAGACGAGGAGACTGCAATCCAATGTTGTTGGCGGCATCGAATCTGTTATTTGATGATGTGTTGATATTTCAAGGTGTCAATAATAGCTTCAAAGTTAGTCGTAGCTTCTCATCAAGGTTGTGCTGCCAAACTTGACTGACATCCGCAGCACAAACAGCGCCCCCACTGACCTGCTAAGTGACCTGAGAGGCCGAGTCGCACAGCGCGTGGCACCCCCTTGCACCCCCCCAGTCGCGGGACATGGCCGCTGGAGGGGCCCTTTTGCAAAAGTAGCCCCAGGTAGCCGCAGTGGTACCTGCTCTCCTGTCGAGGCTAGGCCGGACCCCTAGCTGCCCCCTCGGCGGACCAACAGGGCTCCGTTAGCACCCAGACCGGAAGGATCTAGCACCACAGGTTCGGCGAGGGTCAGGGTAAGACTACCTTGGGTGACCGGCAGGTACCTGGACGCGCTGTAAGTGCATGGCTGGACTGTGGCTGTAGGGGCTTACAGTCTGTTCCCCGGCGCCCTCAACCTGTTGGCAACTGCAGCGGCCAGTATTTAAAAATCCCAGTCCCCCATCTGCCTCCCCTCTCCTTCTCCCCTGGTCCACACTCCAAATCATCTCAACTCAACGCTCGCTCTCCCACATTCGCTCTCCCAAACTTTTCTCTCTAGGAAGTCCTCGTTGACTCCTGTCATTCGCTTTACCGGTGCTCGTTTTCTTTTTGATCCTCCTTCAACCGCCACTCCGTCGCAACCTTCCATCCGCCGACTCCGCCAGAACTCTCCATCTCGAAGTCATACGATTCAACGACAAACCACCTTTTGCACGGAACAAATCGCCTTGGCTACGCTACGCTAAGCAATAACCAAGAGGCTTCGAATCGCGCAAAGGATTCGAAAGGACTAGCTGCTTCGCTACGGTTTCAAGTCTACCCGTCTCGGACTGAAATCCAAGTCGCCGTCAATGTCTATCTAAAAGAACATCATCTTACACACCACCACAATCGCTTTCCCACAATCGCTACCAACAAAGAAAATTTACAAAACCAAATTATAAAAAAAAGAACGCTTTTTACGACCAAAACTACTTGCTATTTAATTCGAGGGTTAGGGAGAGGTAATTCAATACGCCATATTCGATCGCTACGTTTTTTCAAGAGAAGAGGAATATATATACTTTGAAGTATATGTATATCAACCAATTTTAGGAAAAAGAGAAACAGAACAAAAACTTGTGCATACCAGCTGCATTCGAGCCAAGACTTGAAAAAGGCATTCCACCGGGACATCCACATCAGTAAACAAGCACGACCTTCGCTCGTCGTCCAAGCACAGCAATTTCCAGCTGTGTTTTGTCTTTATGTATGTGCCACCATGACGTCTCCCAGTCGATCCATTCACTAACAGCTTCCAGTGGCTCGTCCACAAATCTCCACGCTTTTTCAATCATCAACAATGGCTGGCCCTGGCGGTGGTCCTCCTCGTCGCAGGTTTGTCCCCTCTTCCTCACCCAGCACTTACACGCATTTCGCTCCTTTTCACTCAACACAACCACCCACCCACTCACTCCGTCACATCGAAGCACGAGCTAACTCTCTCATGATAGTCACACCAAGTCTCGCAAAGGCTGTGATACGTGGTACGTAGCAATATTCACGGTTGCCGGATGGCGACTCTGGTCAAGCTCGCAAGCATTGGTCTAACTATGATTCTAGCAAGCGTCGTCACATCCGCTGCGATGAGAGCTTCCCTCAATGGTAAGTTATTGGTGCCGTGCTCATTCCCGTTAGGAACTTGTCCTTTTGCTAATACGGGTATCCTCAGCCGCAACTGCACCAAGCACAAGATCCGTTGCCCGTACAACGATGTGCAGGTTCCTGAGGCTGGTCGCTCAACCACTCCGGACAAGCCCGATCTCATGTGGTCACCACAGGTCGAGGCTGCTATTGCCGAGTGGCAGAGGACTGGCATGTTCCCCTTCCCAACGCTCCGCATCTTCCCAGCTCCCATGCCGCACATGTTCTCCCTTGAGGACCTCCGGTTGATCTACCACGTTGCATCCCTGTACTATCAGCTGGCGGCCTATGAGGCCAACAACTTCACTTTGTGGACCCGTCATATCCCGACGTAAGTTTTCCAATGAGAGCGGCTATTCCATCTTTCTCCTTGGATACCGCTGCTCTGGCGGCAAGCTTCCGCTGCTGGCGGTAGCACATTGTCCAACGCAACGCTAACTTTGGTGTTTCCAGTCTGCTCAAGATCGGCGCGACTACTCCCTACGTGATGCATGCGCTGTTGGCATTCTCTGCCATGCACATCGCCTTTTTGACCGACTGCCCTCTGGTCGGCAGCATGGCGTTTGAGCATAGGGGCAAGGCCTTGAGCGGTCTGCACACCGCGATTGGCTCCTTCTCTCGCGCTACCTCCGACGCCATCCTGGCGGCATCCCTGGTGCTATCGTGGCAGGCCACCGATTGGTAAGCGCTCTTCCCTTAACATTTTCTGCCACCTCACGAGGACGCTCAAGGGCTAATTGAGTTTCCAAACAGGCGCAGCTGGACCCAGCTCATGCAGGGCACCTCGACGGTAAGTTTGTTGTTGGTTGGTGGCGAAGAACTAAGCATCTCATTGGCTTGCCTTAGCTGTTCCCCTCCCTGTTCATTGGCATGTTTACTGATTTTTTTCTCGGCAGGTGATTGATGCAATGGACGCATGGAAGCATGAGTCTGAGTTCACAGACTTCATTGCGGAGAGCAGCACTTTCCCAACAGCTCCGGCTTCTCCGGATCCTGAACGCCGGGTTCACCAACCCCAGAAGGACGACATTGAGGCCTACCAGCGAACCTTGGAGCAAGTCATCAAGGTTGAAGCTCATCTGAAGCACAACAAGGAAGACGCAGCTCAGATGCAGCACTTGATCGGCTTCCTCAAGGGCTCTCGCAAGATCAGCCCCACTCTCCCCATCGCCCAACAGTTTGAGCGCCTCCAGCCCCTGAGGACTTGGCTTTTCTGGGTCCCTGTCGGCTACATTCAGACCTACCACTGCTCCCCCAACTCCCTGGTTGCCATTGCCCACCTGTACACGGCGGCCCTGCTGATGGAGCGGCTCTTCCCCGAGATTGGCGCGGCCTACTTTGGCAGCCTGTCCATGACCCCGATTGAGGAAATCGCCCGGCGGCTCATGTCCATGAACCTCGCGAGCACTGGTGTGAAGAACTCGTACCAGACGCCGCTCACGCTCATGGAGTTTCCCATTGACACGGTCAGTGAGTTCCGGTCCCGCATGGGCTGGATGAGCCCGCAGAGGACCCCCTCGTTCCCTACGTTCCATCCTCCCAACTTCCACCTGCGCGACGAGGTGCCAATGGTCCCTGCAACGGAGTCCTACATGCCATATGGGAACCCTGCCTTTAGCTATAGCGCCGAGAGCATGCCAATGCTCAACAGCCCTACGGCACCTGGTCCGCATGAGTCGCTCAGCCCGCTGGTCATCTCGTCTCCCTATCTGAGCCACCAGTACCTGAACGTGCCGTCTCCGTCCTTTGGGGTTGCCTACAGCCCGGCATCATCAACCTTTGAGGCGTCCCTTGCATACAGCGATTCGGAAGAGTACGGTGGGTATGAAATGCGAGGCTACCATCCCGGCCATTCGCCCACATTCGAGGATGCGCAATGCGCCGGCAGCAGCAGCTACCCCGTCGGGTTCGTTACTCCCCAGCAGTCCGTGTGGATCTAGTTTCCTCTAGATGGGCTTCCCACACACTCGACTCTCCAACCCCGGCTCGAGGAAGCACAATCGGATTGACCGTTGCCACCCAGGAATTCCAGAACTCAATCAGCGTACCCGCCTCCGGAGGGTTCGTCGATGGCGCCACCCTTTCCGCCAGCTCCGTCTCAATCTCCGTACCACTACCAGGACACGCTCGGCATGCTTCCTCTTCCTGAGTCCCCGGTTCCGCTGTCTAGCACACCGCATCACCGACACCGTCAGACCGTTTCGGTCTCTTCCACGCCGCACCCTCCATCTCCGCTGTCGCGCGTGCCTTTGACTCGCAGCTCTTCGGGGCTTGATGACAAGGGCAAGCAGCGGGCGATGTGATTTGATGGGTCTCCTCCTCCTCCTCCTCCTCTTCCTCCTCTCCGCGATACACCTTTGCAGCTGGGATCTGCTTCCTCTTCCTCTTCTCTTGATTTCAACGCAGACGCAAATGTACAACATTCCTTAACACGCTCGCTACTACCATGAAACAACAACGACTTAATGGGCCTTGTTTTTGCACTCTTTATTTTTGCTCTTGTCAGCACACTGGCCTGCCTGAGCCCAACGCCCGAACGACACTCCTTTAGACTTCTCGAGTTGATCTCGATTGAAACAATCCTTTACGACAACGAATAATTACCAACTAACTATTAATGTATTATCTAATACGCGACACTCCTTTCGAAATGATACCCTCCAGCTTAATCGACAATCCTTCAGACGAAGATACCCCCAAACTACGCACACTCCTTTTATGAAATTACGGTTATGACGAACATCTGGTCGACATAGAGTCACTCCTTTATGGGCATACACAAAAAATGGTAACTGGGCGAATCGAATATCACACTGCATAGCGACTGTTTATTCCCGTGCTGCAATAGGCACATTGTTGTGGATAGAATTATGGCGTTTTCCCGGCGTTCAAACGAACAAATAGTGGGGAAGTTTTGGATCTTGGTTATGTTTGAACTTGGCTTTTTGCTTTATGTTTTTTTTTTTTGGATTTATTTTTGGGAAAAGGCCGCTCGGTGTGAAGATGAAGGGCATAAAGTGCCGAACGAAGAAAATGGGGGGGGGAGCGTGCCGGGACTTGTTGTGTGTGTGTTAATAGCTGTTGTAAAGCTGCATTGACAATGCTTCAGCGACGATGCTTGTGGGTGATTCAAGCTGTGCCCTTTAGCAGGCACCTTGGATTGGGATTAATACTATTATGTTCGGTGTGCCCCATGAGTCTCAACTATTGGTTCCATCTTGTCCAGAGCATGACGTGCAGGTGCGCATCCCTGAATGTATGGGTTTGATTTGGTTTGGCCGCTTACGCGGTGTGTCTGCAAAGGAGCCTTTGCTCCTTTCCTGGTTGGCGTTTCGATTTCTTCTTTTTGTTTTCTTCTTCTTTTGGTTCTTCTTTTCTCTTTTCTCTTTCTTCACCTTTCCGGTTCCCCCCCCCCCCTTTCGTTTCAGTCAGATCAAAGGCACTCTCAAGTGAATGTGCCTTTCGATCTCGATGTCAGCGAGAGCCATGTGGGCTCAGATACACCCCAGTCTCGAGCGGTCTCACGCGGCCTCAAGCGGTCCCAGGGCGGTCTCAAGTGGGATCTGGAGCCGGAATCAAGAGTCCCGCAGCTGGGGGGTGACTGGGTCGGGCTATCTTGGGGCGGCAAACAACTCGTTCCCCTTGACTCTGCATTATCTCTCTCTCTTTTCTTTACTTTACTGGTTTTGCCCGGCTGGTCCCCCGTTGCCCCCCGGCCATGCTACTTTTTTTCTTCTCTCTTTTGTGCCCAGCTAACACGCAGGGTCCCCAACGATGACCCTTTGGTGTACATTAGGCGCCCTGACTTGTTCCGTTTTTGCCTCTCCTGCAGCTTGCTAGCAAATCGACTTGACACACCCCCTGCGGAAACGAAACGGTGAGATGGGGAAGAGGGGGGGCTGGGCTGTGTGTCTGTGTGTCCTGGAAAACGGGCACAAGTCGGTTTTCCTCTATTTTGGCTTACGGGAAACGTTTCCTCCCTCCTCTGAGACGGGACGAAACTAGACTTAGGGATGAGGGAGCCAGCCAATACCTGCATACGGGGATGCTGGAAGTGGTTACTCGTACCACGTCAGGTCTAGAGGCAAAACGAGGGGAGCCCTGAGAAAAAAAGACAGAGAGAAGGGAAAAAGAGAACAGGACGACCTGCTTTGGTGGCTATGAATTAGGCGATGGCGGATATCCGTCCCGTTCTAGGTCTAGCCCATGGGGTGGACGCTTGTGAATACGAGAAATGGGTGGCAGGGGGTCCCAAGAGGAGGGCCCAAACGGTCTATTTATGTACGAATGTACAAAAGCATGCATGGGGAGGGTTCATCTTTTTAGGAAAAAAGAACGACGAGTTGTTTTTTGTATACTGTGGCAGGGAAAGTTGGATGATAGGTGAAATGGTCTTTGTCAGGTTGCCGAGTTAGGTTGGCCTCCCCTCCCTCCCAATATTCGACGATGTTGTTTTCTATGCGGCGTGATATGAGAGGAGGGGGAAGAGACGTAGAGAGACTATTGGAATTGAATGGCCCTGTTTTCTCGTGTTTACGGATAGACTGTTTGGGGAAAGCGTGGAAAGATGTGGTGATGGTAACGAGACTGGCGTCGTGTTTTTTTCTTCTTTATTTTGGGAAGAGTGAGAGAACACGAGAGTAGTGAGCAAATACGAGGTTTTTTGCGTGTTTTTTACTTGATCGGGATTTTTGGGCAGTCCTGAAAGGAAATGAAATGAATGAGAAAGGGGACAGAGACGGTTTTCTTTTGGTTGTATTTTGCTCTTTGTTTGCTTTGCTGAGTTTGCGGCTTGAAATTCTCATGGAAGGGGGGGGTTAGAGAGAATCTTCGATTCTGACCTCTCCTGGTGAGTTTGTTTCCCTCTTTTCCCTTGTCCTTCAGAGAGATTCTGTTTAAATGTACATTGGGCCAACTTTCTCAGACACAGGCCTATATACGCCGCCCCCAGAAAATCAAACCTCGAAAAATCCGTCGTTCTTGTTCAAGCTATAACGCCCTCATCCACGTTTCACCCCCCTGATATCATCTTCGACAACAATACCAGATCATACATGCATACAAGAACACAATCCAATCTCCCCTTCCAGCTTCCAACTCTCTGCACCCGTCGGAATAGCCTAAAAACAAAAGAACGAGAGATATAGTCCCCCCCTTGCGATCCAACTAAACAAGATCCTCCTCAACAAAGTGCCCTTCAAGCCTTGCTCCTTTCGTCATCGTCGACCTTGGGCTCCCCTGATCTACACGCACAAAGTCCACCTTGACCCATCGACCGTCGAGAACGATCCTTTCATCGTTCCACCAAACGAAGCCGTCTCTCCCTCCACCCCCAAAGAATATCGAAACCCGTCTCGGCCGAAAACAACATGCAGCTTCAAAGCACCATCTAAACAAAACCATATTCCCACTCCCCCCTCGACCCATACACCTCCTAGATACTCATCCAGCTGCCAAGTTCTACATGTATCCCCGAGGAAATAATCGCCACCGGTCCATTAAAGGGGACCCAACCAACTAAGCCACTCTAGCAACTTCGCCATCGATTCATCGCAATTGGAAGAGGAAGAACACATGTCCCGCTTGTCCCGGCGCGTGTAGATGTGCTTGCCACTGGGCTTTACATGAAACATCCGTCTAAGGACTTTCAAAGGGGGGTGGCTAAACTCGTAGGTTGTGAGGATGGACTTGGAAGTACATCAGAGTACATCAGAGTACCTTGACAAGAGAGAAAACATCTCGTATGGACCATAACAGTGAACGAATTCAAGTATCAAGCACGTCTACTCCCTCCCATCCAGACCTCACTGAATAGTATAACGCACAGTCCAGACAAAAACATCCCATAGTATAACCATCTTTCTGTCTTGTAGCATAGTTTTAACCTTATTTAAGCGCATTCCATGCACCGCTTGATGCTATCAAACCAACTTGGGAGCATCTTGGGGAAAAAAAGAAGAAGAAGCAGAAATATGTCTCCTCCATGATCCGCTGTTCCGCTTCCCCATGCTTTACGCCTCCCTCCCTTCTTTCTCTAAATAACAAAATGTTTCTCGCATGTACAGATATCAAACTCCTCGCTGTGTGGCGAAACAGGGGGGATATAATGTAGCCACGGGTGATATAACTAATACAAAGGATGTGGTATGTATGTTTCTATGATATAATAATAAAGAAAATGGGGGGAAAGTGAATGGCCCGTAAAAACTGAGAGCGAAAGTTGTCATCTCAAAGTCAAAATCTCCGTCTCTGTCCTTTTACCGGTCAAGGATCCTCAGTCATTCAGTTGGTCACAACCTCTTGGTGCACCAGCCGCAGAACCCAGCCGGCTTCAGTCACGCTGGCGAATTGGAAGCACCACTTCTTGATATTTCCTCCTGTTGCTCCGTTTGCCGGAACGCCGCCGACAATACCGTCGCCGTTCTTGACTTCTTCCCAGACACCACAAACGATACCTCTGCTGCCCATGGGAGTGAAGCATCCGCTTCCCAGAACAGCATCCAGCACAGTGATTGGCTTCTCAGAGCTCTTCTTGGGTATTGTCGTAACCGTGACGCGTTTCTCGAGGCCGTGATCCGCTCGAAGGGCCTGGCGCCAGCCCGGAGGCGGCCGGCGGATTTGTAGACTGCAGTTACCGTAGTCTTCCCACTTGGCGGGCGAGACAAGAAGATGGAGCCGGATGCGAATGTTCTCGGTGCTGAGATTCACGGGCGTCTCGCCGCCATTATCCACGCTAACAGAGGGCGATCGAGGCGAGCCGTATCCTGACGAAGAGCCCGATGTATACAGGCTGTTGTGGCCGCTTCCACCTCTGCCGCCACGCTTGTCAACGGATGATCGAGCCAGGTTGAAGGAGAGGTTTCCAACAAGAGTGAGCTTCTTGAGGAAGCTGGAAGCAGACGGCGTCGACGAGGGTGTAGTGCTAGCGCCATCTAACTGTTGTGGCTGTGGTGCCCTCGCCGAGCTGCGGTAGCTGTTCTTTCTGCCGAACCAGCTGCGAGCCCGACTGCTCTTGTCTCCGTCATCAGCCGGAGCCGGTCGCTCACCAAAGCTTCTGAAACGGGCTTCGTTCTCCAACTGGATAAACTTCTGGTTGTTGAGACGAGCGTGGTGGACAGCCGTGTAGAGAGTGTAGCAGTCAGGGCCGTTCAAGCACCGGAAGCGAAAGTTGCCGCCCTGGTAGACTGGCGCCAACTTGCTGTGAGGCTGCATTGATGATCTGATTTCGAGGTCGACCGCAGTGCTCTGTCGGATCAAGACCATCGGCGTAAGATCCAATGCGACAATGGGCTTATCGTCAAGCTGAGTGTAGTTGCTGTCTCGGAAAGCAAACGCCTCAATAAGACCATCTGTAACAACGATTGAACAGTGGTCGGGGTGCACATCCTTCCACGCGCCCTTGTCAGACCACCTGGAGATTGTTGCGAGACATCGTCCCGATCTCGCAAGGCTGCCATCTTCCTCTGATGGCTTCCGTCCATGGAGACCGGCTTGGGAGGCAGAGTTGGACGGCGTCAAGCTAACCTCAGATGCGGGGGCATATGAGGGAGCATATGAAGGTGCATATGAGCCTCTTCTCTGGCCTTCGTCCCTGATGCTGTAGCCAAGCTCAGTCTGGGGAATGTCAATGCTCTCCATCTCCTCATCAGATGAGGATGACTCGCTCTCGGTTCCAGACACATCTTCTCCCTCTGTTTCCGATTCCGACGACTCTCCTTCTTCCACTATCGAAGAAACCGCAGAGGAAGATAGGCCTGAGGCAGAGGAGACCTCAGAAGGCAGGTACTCGTGCTTGAGAGGAGAAGAGCCTCTTCGCCTCACGGCGTGCACATCAACCGGTGGTTGAAGCAGCGACTGAGACTTTGGAGACTGCTGAGGCGTGGGGCTGAGGGTTCGGTGAACTGGCGGTCGCGGCGGTGGCGCATCATTGTGGTATATGACGGGGACCTGCTTCGAAGAGGAAGATCCTGACCGAGACTTGCTCTTTTCTCTGCCAGGGGGTCCAGGAGCGGCTCGTGTAGGAGTCGGTGGAGCCGAAAGACTGCTGTCGGAGTCGTCTCCGTCGGTGTTTCGAGACGCCGCGCTCACCATGCTCTGAACTCCAACGGGAACATCAGGCAATCTGGGAGAATCTGATCCCAGCTCGGATTCATCAAGGACACTTGGTTCAGGCTCCCTGGGCGGGATGGGAGAAGACGGCAGGATATCGAGCCAGTCCAATATCTGCTCTTCTTCATCGGCCCAGAGATTGAGCAGCTCATGCCATGGCTTCCCATTGTGATTGCCACGGACCATGACCACCATGTCCAACTTTCCATCTCCTGAACGGGCAGAGACGAGAGACATGGAGATGGGCGGAAAGAGGAGGTATGATCGTCGACCGTCTCCCACTTCCCGTATGAGAAGATCTCCTCTGTCTTCGGGGCGGCTTTGGTTGTCTCGGTGAACCAGCTCCACCTGACACTCCAGCCTCTGCCCGTTGGAGTGGGCAAGGTCAAGCGAAAAGATGTCCTTGGCACTAACTTGTCGAGTGAGACCGATATTGATGGACTTGGTTGGGCCGAGCGTTCTGAGGTCTCGCGCTCTAGTGGTATCCGTGTTGGCGGCTTCTTCGTCAATGATCCTCGCGACCTCCTCTCTGTGGCGCTGGCGAGCCTTTTCCTGCAAGGCTTCGAAATCCTTGACCAGCTGGTTGGTATCAGGCGATGTAAACATTTGGTCAACGCAGACAATCAGACGGGCCATCTGCTTCACGCGAAATAGTGGCCGCTTCAGGAGATAGGCGACGGCTACACGCTCTCCCTGGGCGTTGATGAGATCGCCATTCGCATTCCTTGGCAACGAATCGAGGAGAGAGTCGTCTTCGTCAGGGGTACCCCGTCGCGGTGCGAGGTTGACTATCAGATCTTGGAAGCCCAGCCTCCAGACACTCAGGTAGTTGTTGTAAATTGGGACAACACCATGTGCCCAGTTGGCCATTCGGCGGATATCTGTCAAGGGAGCCTTGGCATGTGCGTTCTTGAGCTTCTCGAGGGCAACTCCCATATCAACGACCGACTTGGATGTAATATCGACCTTGATCTTTGGAGAAACGGTCCCGAAGTGGTCGGAAGAGGCAGTGGGGTCGCTCACTACGTGAGAGAGAAGCACGGGTACCACACCATCGACCAGTGTTTTGAGCTCACTTTGATACAGGTGTTCGTCGTCGGCAAACTCCTTTAGCAAATCATCGGCAGTTACGTTGGGCACGCCGCGTGCTTTCCGCAGACTCGGCCTTGACCTGCTATTCATCATTCCTTTGGGAACATTTGTGTCGTCCGGTAGTGAGAGGACGGAAACCAGGTCAGAGTGTTTTGTCAGCCTCCTTTTCAGCCCTGAACCCTGTCGTTGTGGGATTTTCGGGTCACTCGATTTTGTGACAGTCGTTGAGCGAGTGAGAGTAGAGTGGCTCACATCCGACCCAGACTCCGAATGACTGATACTAGAGCCCTCGGAGAGAATTGTCGAAAGCTCATGATGACCGTTTGTAGGGGGACGGAGACGTGGTCCGGCAATATGTGGTGCTCCTCTTGATGAGCTGTGGACCGATGAGTCTCGATCGGTGCTTGAGCGAGTGTCTGTCGTGACCCAGCTGCTCAACTCAGAATTGGACTGCATGTACTGCGAGTCGGCCTCGCGTTCTGTCTCTGTCTCTGTTTCCGTCTCCGATCCCGTTTCACTGTCTCCTAGATCATCATCATCTGATTCGAGTCGACGCTCTTCATGACTCTGGTAGCTCTTTATGGGTTTCGTGAGCCCTGCCGACTCTCCTTGAAAGGCTTCTTTCAGGGCACCGAAGAATGGTCGTCTTTTACTACCTGATTTGGAATGCAAAGAGTCTCTGGTTGCACTTCTCCTCTTGAGACTTGAAGAGGAAGATGTTTTCTTTCTGAGAGATTCCTTAGACCTTGACTCTGATTTTGGGGTTGAACTGGTGGCATCAGGTGCGCTCTGAGCCGTCTCATCCGATCGTGTTGTGCTTGTCAGGTAAGACGTGACGTCGGAGGTAACATTGGAGACGACACGAGACTCAGAAACCATTGAGCTTTTTGTCTCTGCCGATGGCTTTCTTTTATGCGCGGTCTCCTTGGGCGTAACTTCCTTGGGTGCATTGTCTCTTTGTGCCGTCTCTTTCAATTTAGCCTCTTTTGGTGCAGTTCTTCTCGGCGTCGTCTCCTTTGGCGTTGTCGCCTTTGGTGTCGCTGCCTTGGGCGTTGTAGCTTTTGGTGTCCTCTCTCTAGGTGCAGCGTCTCCAATGGTATCATCGTCATCTTCGCTGTCGTCCTCATCAGATAGAGTAGACGTGGGTGAATGTGGCCTGTTATCCTTAAAAGGCTCGACAGTGTTGTTCAGCCATTTCTCAATGCTCGGGGGGTTGTTGGGCACAGCATGTCTGGGAGTCTCATTGAGATCATGTATAATCTTCTTACCCTCCTCCACCACCTTCTTTAACACATTCGGCATGGCCTTGAGGCTCGTTGCCCGGTCAAGCTTTGTACGCTTTTGTTGTTGTTTCGGTTTACTCTTAGGAGGACCCCGCAGAGGCAAATCCAGCTCACTAAAGGCGGAATGTCCAAACGGGATGTCTCCTGGGATGTCAGCCAGAGACTTGTTTGACAGTGATGTGCCCAGATCCGAGTCTGGGATATGAGGAGGGCGCTTGGCGCGGGAGCCGACGTCTGCCGACTTGGCCCTGGTGTTGGGACGCTTCGTTCCACTTCTTTTTACGCCCCCTGATCGAGGCTTCTGCCGTTGGGCGTCGACATAGGAGCCTGCATCGTCTGACATTGATAATACAGTCGCCTCCTCAACGGCTTTTATCAAGTCTTGAATCGTGGGGTTCTTGTGGGCAGAACCGGTAGTTTTGCTTCGTTGTCGTGCCGGCCTTGGGGTTCCTGGTTCTGATCTGGAGTCGGCCATTGGCTTCACTCTGATGCCATCGTCCTGAGCTGTATCTGGTGAGGATTTCATAGGTGTAACGCGGATACCATCGCCCTCGGGTTCCTTTTTGGTCGCAGCTGGTGAGGGTTTCATGGGCGTAACGCGGATACCATCACCTTCGGGTTCCTTCTTAGCCGTAGCTGGCGTGGCTTTCATGGGTGCAACGCGGATGCCATCGTCTTCGGGTTCCTTTTTCGCCGCAGTCGGTGCCTTCATAGGCGAAACCCGAATACCATCGTCTTCAGGCTCTTTTTTCCGTACTGGCCGTACACGTATACCATCATTATCGTCCATGCTAGGCTTGAGCGGCTTTCTTGCAGTGACTTCGGTAGCTGGCTCCTCCTGATCGCTATCATCCTCATACTCATCCTCAGAACCAGACAGATCCGACGACAAAGACCCTTTAAGGCTTTTTGGCGGTGGAGTCACGACCTTTTCAGCCCACGCCTTGACCTTGCTCTGAAAGGTCGGATTAGGTACCGATCGGAAGACAAAGCCGTTTGGAATGCGGGCCGCCGGGGTGGGATTGCTCGCTTTTCTCGGGCGAGGCGAGACCTTTCGAACAGACGCCTTTCTAACTTTGGGCTTGACCCAGTTGTCGTCGCTCACAATCCTCTTTTTAGGCGGAGGCACATGCTCCTTTTCCTCTTTCTCGGCCTCCGCAGTGTTGTTGTGCACAATGGCCTTTTTGGGTGGTCTCCTCTTCTGCCTCATCTTGATGCGCACTCGGTCCTCCTCCGTCACGTCTTCCAACTCTTCTCCAGCAAAAGCAACGTCTGTCGGCTCTGTGGCGGCATCATCCGGATCTGCATCGGCCATGGCAGCCGCATTGGCCTTTTGCCATTTATTCACCCTGTCCTTAACACCACTTGGCGGCTGCAACTTGCGCACCATGTTCTGTTTCATCTCATGACGAAGCTCAGCCTTACTGGTATCCATGCTTTGCCGCCGCTTGCGCTCTGCCTCTAACCTCGCCGGGGAGGGTCGCCCCAGAAGAAAGTCATGGAGCAGAGTTGGGGGCTCCGGCTTCTTGGTGGTGTTGGCCCGCGGGCGGTTTCCCGCCGCCGCAGGCTTGGGGGCCTCTCCGGGAGTGTTTTTGTCGTCCGCCGCGGCATCATCTTTGATGGTGTCGGGATTCTTGTTCGGGGTCGTGGGGTTGGCTGATGCGGTGCTATCGCCAGAGGAACTTTTGGACGTGGTCATTGTCGTTTGGGCTGCTAAGCATCGCACTGTTAGCCCGAATGCCGACGCCGAGGCAAGAGCAAGGAAACGTAGTACACGCTGCGAGAAAACAATTCGCCACAATGCCTGAAGGTTATGGCGCGCGGAAGCAGAGCGGCCCAAGCTGCCCAAGCTGCTCGAGCTTATTCGCAATTGCTCCCGTCCCAAGACGCCGGTCGTGGAGGCGAGGGGCAGGCCAGACAAAGCAGACGTGGACTTTCTGTTGCGCTACTCACCTCATCTGAGCAGCATGCTGTTCGCATCGAGGATTCGAAGGTGTTTGCTCGCAGTGTCGCGTTGGCCGTTGCACATGACAAGGTCGAAGCTCTCAGACCAGCCGTGGGAGCCCCCTGGATCCTTGCTTGCTCCCAACAACAACAAAGAACGACCGCCGCAAACGGCTGCAGACGCTGTGGTGTTTGTAAAAGCCTCCAGAAGAAGAAGAAAAAAGAGTGAAATGGCGCGGGCTGGTGGTCAAACGGGGTTGGTAGCTCCGAGTCGAGCTGGAGGATCTTGAGACGGGCAGATTAAGGAGAGTCAGTACTGTAAGATGCAGAGCAAAACGAGCGACAGCGGACGGAACTGGTGACGTCTAGGTGCGTGTATTGGCGGTTGTGTGATGACGGGAACGATGCGTGTACAGTGCAAACGTCGATTGACTGCGATGGATTTGATTACAGGCTCCGGATCCCGCTTATGCCTGTGGCGCTGCAGCATGGATATGGATAGGTATGGATGGATCAAAGCTTTGAAGCTGCTTGTGCTGCGCTGGGTGCCGCAGTAACCAGCGGGGTCGCCTCCAAAGCCGCTGTAAACGTAAACAAATGCAGTGCAATTTGGCACAGCTCAAGCGTCACTGAAAGCCGCGCAAGGCCCGGGCCGCGGCCAATCAGAGACGGGCTTTATTATCGTTCTAGTCAGGTTCGTATCACCATGAAAGAAAACTTGCTTCATATCAATCTTACTTGGGTGTGCTAGTTCCACGGTATCGTGTTACAGCTAGCCCCAGACGGGCTGGTGGCTTGCTGTGGCTGATGATGGGATCCATGGGCCGCATCTCTGCCTTGATTTGTTATTGTTTTCCTCTTCTCTGCGTGAGTCAAGATGGAATTGTCCTAGCAAGGGCGATCACCAGGATCATGGCACCGCATCGGGATCATCGACTTTCGCATCCAGATCTATAGATTCTCGATTATCGTCTTGTTTGTTGTTGTTGATCGCCGGCCCTTGCATTGACAGCATCTGCATGATATCCAGCACCTATTCGACCTACCCGCAATACAATGGATTTCGATGTTCAAAGTCTCTATGGATGCCTTTTGCTTGTAATCATGAGCCCTGTCAGTTCTATTATTGTACGAGTATGCTTACATGTACTCCGCGGGCTGCAACACGTGTTGGCCAGATCGATATCGTACGTAACTCATCGCCGATGGATTCAACTTACACACCGTCTCACTAACACCAGGCCGTCAACTGACAAAACAACGACATGGATGCCCTCCACCGTCATCAACGGCAACATACAATCCCTCCTAGTGTTTGCTAATATAGCTCGCTCACATCTCAGAAATCATGCCCACGTTGTTCTCATCTACTGCCTCAAAGAGATTTGGTCCTCGAGTTGACAAATTGGAGCACCCCATTTATCATGCCGTCATCTCCCACTTACACACAAAGGCCATTATCTCGAGCGAGTCACAAGGTGGCATCGGACTCTCCACCAACTCCGGACGCACTCTTTGTTTCCCCACTCATTGTCTCAACTTGTTGTACCATCTCCTTCGTATCCAGCACTCACTCATCTTTACTCCGTACTTGTTCAACAAAGAACCATCCCATAACCTCTTCAGCTTCCTCTCAGCTCAAACAAATAAACACATCTCCCCATCACATCTCACCGGAACCCCCGAATCCTCTCTCTCTCTCCCTCCATTGTTACCGCCCTCACAGCCTCCTCCCTAGCCCATCCATCATACACGCGTCTCACCCGCTCAGCTCGCCATGGACCATTGCCTCCATTCTCGTCCCGGTCCAGCTGATCAACCTCGCCCACTAGCTCCACAACCAGCACCACCCGCATCCAATAATGGCGCAAGTGTGCGATTCAACTCCCGAATGACAGGTCACGCCAAGGAATGCGATTTTCTGGGCAAATCTTATGCCTGCAAGTCATGTCCATTATGCAAGTCGTCGTGCTAGGCGCTTATCGGCTGCCCTACGGATGGATCAGCGCTTCGAAAGTTGTGTGTTTCCATTGTGGCGATAGCCTTTTTTTCTTCTGTGCGGTGAGGGAGCTTGATGGATGGAATTGTCTGCCAACAATAGCATCCGCATTCGTATCCGATATGGTGTAGTGGCTAACATCGCTCGCTCTCAACTTCTGGTTGAAGCACCGAGCAGCCCTGGGTTCGATTCCCAGTATCGGAGATGTGTCTTTTTTTTGCCCTTTTTACTATTCTACCCTCTCTATCTGTCTGTGCAACCCTGTATGAGAGAGAGAGAGCATCGGTTTTGTTTTCACTGTATTTTATATCTCAAAAGTAGATGAAAGTGAAGAGTCAATTCAATGGTAACAGGTAGTAAGCATATATAGTAGTACCAAACAGTACCGTTGTCAATCAAAAGATGCCTCCAACTCCAACAGATGCCCTCCCAGGTTGGTATAATTGCAATACGCAAACAAAACAAGCAAGCAAGCAAACAAATGCACACCGCCCGGTCCTTTATTATGCCTCCTCCCCACCGAAAGTCCCAGCTTGCGATGGCCCAGAAACAAAAACCAAAACCTGCAGACGTAGAAGCTGCTATTATAAATGCATAACCACTCCCGCCGCCCCCAAACGCCTTGAAATGCTATGCCGGATAACACACTGCATCAGAACCAAATGATGAAAACAGAAACCCTCCCACCCACCCCCCAAAAATGAATTAATCCGCCCTTGAACGCCGCCCAATGCAAAAAAATATATATGGTTGTTTAAAAGATATGCACGACGCTCGTGTTATTACTCCTTGTCTGGGAGCACGAAGCGTACCTTCTTCTTGGGCTTTGCAGCCTTGGTGTCTACACCCGCATCGCTCATCAACTCCTCTTCAGTCTCTTCTTCGATGGACCACACGTCGGGACTGGGTTCCCGCCACAGGTGGTCATCTCTTGCGCGGACAGACAAGCTGCGAGTCTGTTGGCGTGTCGACCCGCGGCTGTTTGTGCGGCCTCTGCCCCTGCGGCCCGGCGCCGGCACGGAGTTGGGCGAGAGCAGGGCGTTGGCAGTGAGGCCGAAGACGGGGCTCTTGGCTCGGAAGCGAAGGCCCTCGACGGCGAGGTCTCTCAGGGGGGTCAGCGAGAAGGACGACGACGTGGGGGAGAAGCGAATGTATTCCTCATCGTCGTCGTCGTCGGTGGTGAGGGCGTCCGAGTCAAAGTCTGGCGAGGCCGGGCGAGCGCTGTCGGGCTTGCGAAGGCCCTCGAGAGAAGAGGGACTGACGCTGCGGACGGCCTCGCGGGGCTGGCTGGCGTCTTCGATGCCGGCGTCGAAGTCCATCATGTCGACGTCCAGGTCCATCTCGTCATCCTCATCCTCTGCTGGGATGGGAGTGAGGAAGTAGGTGAGCGGGTTGTCGTCAATATCCTCGAGAAGCGGCCGAGGCTCAAAGCTCTCAACAACGGTCCTCTTCTTGAAGGACATGGTGGGAGTCAAGCGGAGCTGGGTAGGTGGCCAGGATTCTCGGCGAGAGGAGAAGACGGATTCCATGGGCATTGTTGGCTCGAGTTGCTTTCTGTCTGGGGAAGACAGAAGAGGTGGATGGCAGGGGTTTAAGTAGGATGCAAGGCGAGGCGAGGCAAGGCAGCACTAAGTCTAGGTAGATAGGACTTCTTCTTGCTGATGCCTTCAAAACGCCACCTTATTGGATGACTCAGACGGGGGGAGAGGAATTATGACAGGTCCAATCTCTGAGCATAAACGAATAGTTTCCCTTTCCCTTGATGAGATTCACGAGTTAGGACAAAGAATGAAGAGAGGGAGCAAAGAAGGCCGGTGGGTTCAATATTGGCGGCACCTCCGACGGTAAAGGGCTGAACAGCCACTGAAAAAAAAGCGATCCTGCACGGAGAACCAGAGAAGCTGGTCCGGAATATCAAAAGAAGCCTCAAGGGTGTGTAGGTAAGGTAACCAGTCAAGTGAGCCTGGCGAGGCAGCGAGATAAGCCGCAGATATATATGCAATCAGATTGCAAGGCAGCGGCTAAGCCGACTGGACAAGACAAGACAAAATTCAATGCGACGCCCCTCTTCTTCTGCCGCAATAGACAATAAACGGGCTCGATAGCCAAGAGCTGGTGCGTTCTAAAACGTCACCAATGCAGCCCGTGATGGGCAGAGACAGGGGGGGCCGCACGGCTCCGGCTTGGCCTTGTGAGGTGCTTTGATGGTCATCAGCAAGCGGTAGATGAGAGAGCTGCGCCCACGTGAAGGAGGCCTATGGGAGAGGCGTCTGGGGCTGGGCCCACCGAGTGTGACAGCCGAGAGCCGCCTGTATCAGTTCTCACAAACCGGTGATGATGGCGGTCCAAGTCTAAGTCATGAGAGACGAAGGGCGAAGACGAAGAGAGAGAGCCATTATCTGGCCGCATCAAGGCATTTCCCGCCGTGGCCATGGGCAAATAGTCGCAAGCCATGGTGGTCCATGAGCATTCCAGGATGGTGGTTAGAAGGCGGCGAATGAGCGGCCCGTGTTCAGAGCCCACTCCCAAATGACTTGAGAAACAAAGACGCGGGGAGGAGAGAGACTAACGGGAAAGCTGCAAGGGTTCAGTTCTCGGAGGCTCTTTGGGACTGGAGCTTGCTCTGCAATTCTCGTAAGCTGAGACTAGGGCACACCATCTCGAGCCAGAGGGGGGAAACCAGATGACTCGTTTCTGCGGTGAACAGGATGAGGATGATGCTATCTCGTTTCTTGCTTCTGTCCCCGCCATCTGGTGGGTTGTTTTGAGACCTGGGTCACGGTCACGCCCACCCCCCCCGAGCAGCGTGGAATTCAACCGCCTGCATGATTTGCATCGATCGAGTTCCTTGTTCCTTGGACGATGCATGCTGGAATGCAAACGATCACTGCATGGTTCCTTGCATGATGGGTGCTTGCCCGCGCGTGGCGCCTAAAAAAGGACGAGCGTTTGCAGTTTTCGCCTCGTCGATCAAGGGCTCGCCATTTTTGGATAGTACGGGCAGTTTATCCAGCAAGAGAAAGCGAACCGGGCAAAGGATAAAAATGGAACGCCGTTAAAGCTAGCCAACGGCGCGGAACGGGAGCTTCGGCTGGGGCTCGTCATCGTCGTCATACTGGATATGAAGTTACTGTATCTGTCTCTGTCGGGATACCGGAATCCAGCAACTTTTTTGTACGTGTATACCAAGGGCACATGTAATTCAAGATGCCCGTCCCGTTGGCAACACAGACTTGCCGTTTCCGGACACACGGGATTGGCTCTAACAAGAACTCTAGGATTTCCAAGACACCCGCCAAGTGCCAAAAACTAACTATGCTCTCCTCAGCTACGGTGGGCCGGATCGTCTGCGTCTGCTGATTTGCTCCAGCCTCTCCCAGGCGACGAATGCGGCCGTCGAGCTGAGCACGATGGCGCTCGATGGATTGTGCTCGTTTCCATTATTGGCGCCCCGGTTCGGTCAGCTCAGCTTTTCACGGGCAAGTTGGTTAGTGCGGGCAACGGAGAGGCGCAAAAAGCCAGTTTCTGTGAAAATGGAATGTTGACTCGAGAAGATTGACAGAAAAGATGTGCCACATCCCAATATAGAACGGTTGCCCGGCTTCTGTGCGTCTTGTCTGTGTTTCCCGTCTAGATAATGGCTGCGAACCCCCCTCCCGAGACGAGAGGATTGAAAGAATTTGATTCTCATGAGACCCTCTGCTGCTGATACGTGATTCCAGACCGTGCTCGCAGTACCTCAACGTGACGGGGCCCAGCATGAGAAATTCACTCAAAAAAAGGTCCTCTACGCGTCATAGAAACAGGGCGACAAGAAGCACACTTCTTGTGTTTGAGCGGTTTCTGGCATCCTGGCGAACGCACAACAAGGGGAAGCATGACCAGGAAAAAAAAATACACCAGTCGGGCCATGAGTCGTCGTGATCATGCTACTAGACTCTCCAGACTGGGCCTCATAGATTCACAGCTCTCGGGCGACCAGAATTAATATATCCAGCAGGAAAACATGCAACCTCCAAGTCCCCCTTGTTGCATTTCTCCTCTTGTTAACATCGAGACTAAATCCCGGCAGACAAATGTCTCTGCTCCCGTATCCCTGCCCGCCAAGCCCAGGCCGTGACCCAAGCACCTGATGCCCTCGTTTGATTCCCTCATGGCCTCTTATTCATCTTTTCCCCTCTTCTCTTGTCCCTTCTCCATGGAGCCTCAAACCCCTGCTGGAAATCCCGCGCTTGCTGCGGTGCTCCCAATTCCGAACTTGCTCCCAGCCCTTTTTCTGCCAATGACGCCATGTCGGCCCTTTCGGCTGCCGTTGAGTCGCAGTTTAGCTTGAAAATCTCCGTGTCCCGACTTTTCTTTTTTGTTGTTGTTGTTGGTTTTTCTTTTGTCTTGCATCGTATTGCTCTGCAGTCCGTATCCTGTGTAGAATATACGATATATAAGGAGACGGAGCACCATGCGATCAACTAGATTGCATGCGGTAAACAGCTGTCAGCATTATTTTGTCTTTCTTCGCTTGGACGTCTTATTGCTGTTCTCCTGGCTGAGCAGTGAATACGACAGGAGTGCGCTGCTGCTTTTTCAGTAAATTGGGGCTTGCGCGGCAATTGCGTATCTACATTCGGAGTACGATGTCGCTTTGACCATTATCCAGATTGAGCGTCACTTGTCGCATGATTACTGTATTACCGTAATCGACATTACATACTGCATGGTAATAGGAGGTAGCACTTCCATTCGCATTTCACTTGGATCTGCATACCATCGCCGTTTGTACAACCACCAGAAACCACGGATTCCTGCTACTATTCGAGTTGGCTTACATCATTCATCCTCTCCCTTCCTTCACGTGCATCCCCTGCGTCTTCGGCTTGAGACGTGCCGGACTGAGGACAAGAGTGGCCCATTGGCATCTTGGCATGCGCAAACGAAAACGACGCGCCCTGTAAGCATCGACATAGGCAATTGCATGGTCGGCCGCATCTTACGATTACATTCGGGGTACGCGTACCCACGTTTCCTTACCCCAGATAGCCTATCGGGTGTTCGCATTCCCAGACTCCGATAAGGGCATCTCCAGTTCTGGCTGGGAATCGAAATACACGGGAGGGCTTAGCAATTACCATCCTTGCGTCCTACGTAGTCGCTGTCGCAGTCCTAGTCGCTTAACATGCAAGGCTTTTGGGCGCCAAGAGACCTGTCTTTTTTTTTTTCTTTCTTCGGCCCGCACGGGATTGTACCATCGTGCATGTCTGCAGCATCACAGTCAGCGGCTCATTACATAAAGCCAAAGACACCCTCCGGATATCCGGATGATAGACCCAACCGGCTTCCACCTTTAGTCAACCAGCCTGCATTGGCATTTGACCGTCATTTCTATCTCTCTCTCTATTCATCATTCTGTTTCTCTTCTGCTCATCGATTTAGCATCCTCAAACTGCATCGTGGCGCTCAGCATCTCCCAGCTTCATTCCTTGTCCTTGACTCAGTCGCCGAGCTTCTCCTCACTTAATTCCGGAGCTTCGCCCGCTCGCTTCATCGACTGCCCGTTTCGGCCTTTTGCTGCTCCGCGTATTCCGCACATTTCAAAGAGCTCACCCCCACGTGACGAACAAGTCAATTCCGATTGATCGCCTCCAGCTTCCGGATCCGTTGAGGCGACGACAAGAGAAAATCCGGACACAAAGAGCTTTAAAAAAGAGAGGCTCGCCCCAGGCGGTGCAGCATTGTTTCGCCCATCTCAATAAAGGTTCATGTTTATGGTGACCTCGAGATTGAAATTCTGCCCCCGAGCAGTGCTGTCGTCCAAGATGCTTCGCTCTGCCATTGTTGGCTTCGTACTGCTCTGCGCTCTCGTCACTTGGAGCACCACGCTCTTCTTCTTGCAGGGCGATTCGTTCGAGGCTTGGTTTGACGCAGCTGCTCGCCGGGACAGCGGCCTCGAGTTTAGCAACAAGGCACAGGATCTGGACTACGAGCCCACCAGGATGGACGTGACCAACCTAAGCCCTACCATTCCTCTGCGGATGGTGACGTTCAACATCCGATACGCCACTTCGAGTCCGGTCAAGGGCGAGAAGCTGTGGGACGAGCGAGGCTCCAGGCTCGTCAACGAAATCAGCTTCATCACCGCCGGCCAGGAAAATGCCTTTCTCTGCCTCCAGGAGGCCCTCCACAACCAGCTCGAGGACATCCAGGCCGGGCTCGGCCCCCGATGGGCGTACATTGGCCGGGGCCGCGAGGACGGCAAGAAAAAGGGCGAGTTCTCCCCCGTCTTCTACCGGTCCGACGTCTGGTTCCTGGAGCGCTCGCAGACGCGGTGGCTGAGCACGACGCCCGAGAAGCCGTCGTTTGGCTGGGGCGCCCCTCACAAGCGCGTCGTCACCATGGGCGAGTTCTCGCACAAGGTGACCGGCACCAGGGTCGTCGTCATGAGCACGCACTTTGACTACAAGTACGCAAAGGCCCGCAAGCACAGCGCCGAGCAGCTGATGCAGTACGCCCGCGACTGGAGCCAGGGCAACAACAACGCGGCTGTGCTCATCGGCGGCGACTTCAACAGCACGCCCGATGACGTGGCCTACCGCCTCATGACGGCGCCGGGGTCTGGCATGTCCGACCTGTCGGATCTGCTGCCCGCGGACAGGCACCACGGGAACAGCCTGACTTACACCAGCTTTGGCGAGCCCAACGAGTGGCCGCAGCGCATCGACTTTCTCTTCATCCAGGAGCCTCGCACCGCAGTCGTCAAGACGTTTAGCGTGCTGGAGAATGTCTATGACGACCAGATCCGCGTGTCGGACCACCGGCCGGTCGTGTCGGACTTGGAGATTGCCGTGGACCCCTCATCATGAGAATTTGATGAAACTGTCCATTTTGGTTAAGAAAACAACAACAACAAAAAGGAACAAAAAAAAGAAAAGAAAGAAAAACAAGAAATAATAGCCGCATTGATATTTTATGATCAACGTCTCTTTCAACACTTGGGAAAAAAAAAATCTCGGAGGATAATGATACCCGGAGCGTGCTTCCCGAGTGGCACCGTCTCCAAAGCAACTCGTTATGAACAGGGAGTTTGGGAATGGACATTTACCACTAGCATATTCACAAATAAATTAAATAAAAAATCAAATTCAAAATAAAAAAAACCTATCCTATTTTTTTTTTTTGTGAAGATTCTATTCAACGAAAAGACGGAGAGAATTGAGCGCAATGTGGATGCATGTTATCAAGGCTACGGGCGCTTGTCTGCATCCGAGCACTTGAACGCTCTGCACCTTGTATCCCATCGCCATCGCTGACGTCCAACTTGAATATCTCCAGACAGACAGAAAAAAAGCAATCAGCGATGCAGTTTGCTTATGTCATGCCGGTGATAAGCAAACCCGCCTCTCCCACTCTCTCACAGCCACCGCATGAAGACCCAAAGGATCCAAACCACCCGTCCCCCAGCGGCATTAGATTTCTCAAAGGCAGAGAGGCTGGATTGGACATGCAGCAGCATCAACGGACATGACAATTGCAGGATTTTATATAACTATTATGGAGCCGGCCTTTGTTGTGCGCACAAAAGGCGGTCAAGAGCTGTCCTGGTTGGTTGGGAGCTGGACTGAGATATATCAACTGCATCTCTTACAGCATCTGGAAGCCGGCCATTGTTTGCCATCAATCAGCTGTTTGCTTTAGATCGCTCTAGTAGATAGATCGTAAATAGTATATGACCAATATGCATCAACAAGGGTTTTATATCCTACATGTATTCACGTTTGCACGGCATTGAAACGCCTCGTTTCCTCTCACCTGCACTGCATGTGATCAGAATCCTTCGCCCTCACGTCCGTGATTGGACTCAATATGTCTCTGGAAGGTGATCTTTTTTGACAACAGCAAGAATATGTTGTCTTACAAGCATGAATCTCTGAGAAGGACCGGATGCAGATGACATGTATTCCTACGGAGTCTGACATTCTTTCAGTGATAGATGGAGATGCTGACATGAAATTCGTCGACATACTCGTACACCGGTTTGCTGCTGTCTTTGGAATAAATTGACGGCATATGATAAGAGTGACTGCATGCAGAAAGGTCCCATAGCATCACTTTTCCACCGTGTACGCATGTCCGACTGGCTACATGTACGTCTGATAAAAAACAAGCAGCATGGGCTTCCCTGCTTCAAGCATGCGTAGTATAAGCTCAAATGTTCATTCTTGGATGCACATCCGAGCATACAGACGGCCCCCAACATGTCTAGTGGTGGATATGCGCCAATGGCGGCATACACATACAGGTTTACCAAATTATATGTCATCTGAAACAACCAACTTCCCAAACACACGCCATCATAGCACAGATAACATCGAAGAAAGGAGAAGAACAAGAAGAAGTTGAGGGGCGTGTGTCTAAATCCGTAGTGGCTGCAGCAAGGCCGACATTTCTTTACACTACATGTGTGTATGCTATTTCAATCACTCACTGTGAGACAAAGAAGACAACAATTCAAGACAAAAACAGGTAGGAAAGCTGTGAGCAGTTGGACAAGTCGTTGCCACTCCCGAGCCACGTCGTTGAAGAAAGTCTTGGAATTCGCCTCGTTGTGTAACGCCGCACATCGAACAGAGAAGAAGAGAAATGTAAAAACTGGAAATCTTGGTTGAAGCTACACCACGCCCAACAACGGAAAAAGGCTGTGTGCTCGGGGAGGGTCCCACCAATCAAGACGACAAGGCCTACCGATTTTGACGCGGATTGATTTCAGTTTTTTTTTTGATCACGGGATTTTTGGATTGTGTGTCACGGGTAGCGCGGTATTATATCTCACGCTACATCGTGGGAAATCTGGCGAGACAGCCGCGGTGGGACGGTATGATGGTTGCGGGTTTGGGTTTGGCTGGTGGAGGTGGTGGCCGATATGTAGTTTGGCGGAGAAGGGTCCTCCATGTGTAAGTTATTTGTTAACGCTGGTGTTTTCTTGCTTTTAAATTGCAATCACCTCTTTTGTTATATTCGCGGGTTGATATCTGGCGTTGGCTATCGAGGATCTTCAAATACGGACATGCGGACGAGCTGGACGAAACAGTACTACTGGCGCCAGTCTAGAGCAAGATAAACGAGCCGTAAACGCTAGAGATGCTGTCAATATCCAAAAGCATCAAGCACCAAGCAGACGGTCGGGGTTGGTGTGGAGGTCAAGTAATACGGGAAGAGGCCGGGAGCCGAGACAGGCAAAAAGACGGGGGCCCGGGGGTGGGGCCGGGCCATCAGATACGAGTACGGAGGATGCGATGCACGCAGAGGAACAAAGCTCGAGGGATGAAGATGATGAAGATGAGCACCGCAGGCTGTGCTGACTAGCAGAAGGAGGAGCGAGCACAAGGACAAGGACAAGGAGAGGGTCTGCCGGCAGCAGCAGCAGAGTGTGGACTCGGAAGCCTCACAAACTGTGGACGGACGAGGGGGGGCGTGCACCGGCCGGTCGATCATGCATGAGCTTTGCGCGCTATAACCCAAGCGATGGAGGCATTTCGAGTCATCGGCTGAGCAGGCAGGCAGAGAGGCTGGGACGAGAGACGAGAGACGAGAGACGAGAGACTTTGGCCCGAGATAGAGGCGTGACTCGGAGCAGCAGAGCACGAGAGGAGGAGGGGAAAGCCAAGCAACCAAGGCATCAGCCTGTCCTATCAAACAGCCGATGGCACGTCCAGCCTGCATGGCGGCAACCGGCGACGATTGGGCCTCAATGCCAAAACTGGGGCCGGTTGTGAGCTGGCAGTTGGAACGGAGCATCCGCATGCGCCCCCCGGACGCCTTTTTCCCTCTCCCCTCTCCCCTCCCCCCCATGTTGCTGTTCTTGTCTGTCTTGCGCCATGGTATTTTTATTTTATTTTATTTTACCGCGCACCAACAGTCCGGGGCCAGACATGGAAGCTCACAACCATTTTGCGATTTTGTTTTAAAACCGTCACTGGATTTCTGCAGATCATCTTTGTCTGAGTGATGAGATTTTTTTTCATCTTGCTTTTTTCGCCTCAACGGGCGTCGGGAGGCAAAGACGGGAAATTATCGTCAGGTCCTTTGCGGTTGATACCCAATCAAGGCCCTAAGAGCAATTTGTTGGGCAGAAAGCCGACATACCAAAAAAGCAAGAGAGAGAGAAAATGTGTGTAGGCAAATGGTAGCAGTTTATTATGGTGGTGGTAGCAGTCGTAATCAAGCAAATTTCTCAAGAAGTTGGGAGAGGCGTATGTGTATAGGTATGGATGGCTCTGCGCACTTTGTTGTACCCCCTGCTCAGGCTCTTATAAGCCCCCAAACAATTTTTAATTTTTTTTTTGCTCTGGCTCATTGTCATTGCGACCGTGGCGTGTCGTTAGTTTCTTCGAGGCTGTCACCAGTTTCGTTGGACTGGGCGAGGCTGGACAAGGTTGAAAATTTTCATCGTTCGCTGGCAGGTTTTGGGACCAGGTTCTGCTGTCCAACGGTGACCGTTGAGCTGTCAAGTCTCCCCCCCCCCCCCCCCCCCCACGGTGGCGAGATTCAGGATAAAATGTCTGGTGTCTACGGTTAGTAAAAAGGCTTGTTGTACACCAAAGTGCTGTAGAGTTTCAGCGCGTGTTTCACAACTCCCGTCGAGAGGCTGATCTGACTCTCCCATGGATCCCAAAAGGTGGCGGGGGGCGCCAACAACGGGCAGAGACGAGCCGCCATCTCCACAGTTGGGCGTGAGTGCTTTTCCTGCTAATTTGATGGATGTTTTTTTTTCCCTGGCGATTCTTTGGCTCTCAGCCATTCGCCGCGGCTCTACCCGGCGCGCACTAGTTTGATGGTTTTGCTTGTGTTTCCACACGGGTGGGAAGGGAATTTGGAAATGGAAAATTGGAAGCCCGTCGTCAACCCAACATGAACCCTGGTCCGAACAGGCGGGAATGGTGACGTCGTTGCTTGAGCTTGACAACAGCTTTGAACTGAACTTCCAGGTTGGGCTGGGCTGATTCCCGACAAGGACGGAAGTCTGACTGACTGACTGACTGACTGACGACGACGACGACGAAGAAAATGCCAGCCAGAGCCAAGACGGATGGGATGGATGAGACGAGCAACGGCGGCGATTCGTCATTGGGAATGCATGGTTTTATTTTTATCCGTCGAGAATGCTGTCTTTGAAGACGGCTAACGCAGCAGCCAGCGTCTAGGATCCCTGCTCGAACGTCTTGTTTCTATTTTGCATGGATGGATGGGATTGCATAAGACATTTCAAGGTGCTATTATTGTTGTGGATTGTTGTTGTTGTCCTTTGGCGAGCGCTTGTTGTAACACCAACACCAGCCCCGGCGCTCTGGCATCACATTCACCCTACGACGTCAACATACGACGTCGTTTCTTTGTGCTTCGCGTAGATTCGATTCCTTTGAACTCTCAAGAACTCTCTCCCCCCTCTCCGAAAGCTGCTCACAAGCTCCGTCTCAAACCCCCCAAAAAACAACAACAACCCTTGCAAGCTCGTCTTTTCCCTCGTCTCGCCGCCCCCAATTCGCCAGTTTCGCTATCGCAGTCCTTTCTCGACGGTGGTGCGGCACCTCCGCCCTCGGCCTGTCGTTGAGACGACCCAAGGAGCAACTAGAGAGGGTCAGGCGGCCGTTAGCTGCCGATGCACTGTGCAGCTTTCGCGGGACTGGGACTGGCTCAACGGCTGGTGAGTGTGTCTGGAGCTTACAAGTACAGTATCCAGCCATCCATCATGTGGGGGAAGAGGGATATCCCGCCGTCTAGACCATTCGGGAGACATCCAGGCCATGTACGGACGGGTATGGCACCAAAGCCAAATAGATGACTGTCGAGATACAAGTAATTTGTAAAGGAGCCATCAAGTCGAATGTGCTCGACCGTGCATGCGGACGTCCAGGCATGCCGTCAAGTGTCGCGCGATATTGTGTCCCGGTTGTGCTACTCCAAGGCCGCCAGAAACGAAACCACACCACCATCTGCCCAGTGCTTCTCTCATCAACAGCGGCTTGCATCAGTCCAAATCTCTCTCCCTCGTCCATCGAGTCCAGCTCTCCCTTGCATCGCGTCACGTCGCCTCGCACAGACGCTCGCTGCCCAAAAAGCAAAGTGTTTCTTCTTCTCTCCCTCTCTTGCCTCTCCCCCTTTTCGGAGTCCGTACTCGTACAACAAGCATTGATTCTTCCATTCACATCAATCCCGTCAATATTGGTTCAACCCGGGATCAACCATCAACCCACCCGACTTCCTCTCCACAGTGCCTCGCACACTGACACACAGCGCCAGATCCAGTGCAGCGACAGCGCATTAGCCCCTACAGCACCCCCTGCTACCCTGCTAAACCCTGCTACCCCTCCCTACACCACCCCCCCTCTGCCCACCCCCATGCCCACCTCACACAAACCCGAACCTTCGCACCCCTCAATTCCCGCCCTTGTCCTCGTAGCGCTCTGCCTGCTCTGCACACACTTTGCGGCCATTGGATCAGCGACGACGGGCGATTAAAACCTCGACGCAGCCGCTACTGCGCTGTCCGTTGGTCTTGCAGTTGACAAAGACTCGTTTTTTTTTTTTTTGCAAAGACGACGAAAAATTTCTGTTTGCTGGGGTTCATCGATCCCTTATTATCCTGGCCCATCGCTGTGAATGAGGGGTTGCGTCTCATCTCATCTTCGTCTCATTCACCTTCACCTTCACCTCTCACGCCTTACAGACAGACAGCTCGTTCGAATCCAATTCACGCCCGGCGCTAATCGATCCGACTGTCCCTCTGCCCACCGCCTGATTGCCCACCGAGCTTGTCGCTGCCTAGACGCCCGCCTTTGGATGCTGACCGGCTTCTCGCGCAACAGCGACTCGAACGAACTCGAATCCCCCCCCCGCCTTAGCGCGGCTTCTTTTACTTCTTTACAACTGAACTTTCATCATTCATCTGCTCTTCTCGGGGCATTCACACTTCTTACTCATACACAATGCCTCCAGCTCCGGCTCCGTCCATGGTAGGCTACGTGGAGGACGTTGACGAGGACATTGGCAGCACCATCGGCGTCGAGAGCACCCGCCGATACGCCAGGTCAGCAGCCGCCAGAAGCCCTGAGCGTGAGCGATCCAACACCGGCAAGCCCAGAATGCCAGAGTCCGACTCCGATGACGAGACGGCCTCGAGCAGCAGCAGCCTGTCCGACTCTGACAGCACGCCCGCACCCACCAGGAACCGGACAAGGCCCGTTCCCGTTGAGCATAGACGCCCACTGCACAAGGACCGAGACCACCGTCGCCCCCCTCAGGATTCTCGTCCCCCTCGCGACCACAGGGCCCTTGGTCGAGATGATCGCCAGAGACGCGAGAGGAGACCTAGGGAAGACGACGACGACCGCAGAAGGCCCCGGCCCCAGCCCAAGGATAGAGACCTCAGAGACCTCAGAGAGCCCAGAGACCCAAGAGACCCGAGAGACCTGAGAGACCCCAGGGGCCCCAAGAAGACCCGGCCCGGCCCCCCCAAGCATGCTGCCTCTCAGCCCGTCGTCTCTCAGGGTGCCTACCGAAGAGGCCAGTTCGAAGATCCCGCCGCATATGGAGTTCAGCAGGCTCAGCAGCTCCAGCAGCCTGCTGCCTCTGGCCGGCCTCGTGCCAAATCCCGTCCGGCGAGCTACTACGCCGGACAGCCCCCACGGCCCCCTCTGGACATGGGCTGGCCTGGGCCTCACGCTCCCCTTCCCCCTCCTCCTGGGGCGTTTGGCATGGGCAACTTCCCGCCGCCTCCTCACATGTTTCCTGGCGGCCCCCCAATGCACCCTGGCATGCCGCCGCCTCAGTCCCCCATGGGCATGGGCCCGCCTCCCTTCTTTGATGGCCCCAGCCCCATGGGACCGCCGCCTCCGGGAGAGCATCTCAGACATCGGTTCGACGGTGGCGGCCGGCCTGCTTCTGCCATGGGCTTTGGCTCTCCTCCCGAGGCCATAGGCTACTTTAATGAAAAGTATGACGACTATGAGGAAGAGCAGCATCAAAAGGTTCCCCGCCGTTCTTCGCGTGCCAAGAAGGCGCCGCCACCGTTGGAAGAGCGCAAGAAGTTGCCGCCTTCCGAGTTTGCTCTCAAGCGTACTCAATCAGCAAGGCCAACTTCGGGTGCCTACAAACCTCCTCCGGCTGCCCGCGAGCCACCGCGTGAATCAATGCGCGAACAAATGCGTGAGCCACTGCGCGAGGCACCGCGGGAGCACATGCGAGACCACCAGCTCCGTGAGCGTCCGCTGTCTCGACAGGGCCACCAGCGGCCGCCGCCATCGCACCGCCGGTCTGTGGGCTTTGTGGACCAGCAGGCCTTTGACGAGGACGACTTCCTGGGTGGCGAGGTGGACCTCTATCAGGAGGTCTCTCCCAACCAGCGCCGTACTGCCCTCGCTCGACCTCGACGCAGCAGCTCCGTCGCCTATGATCAGCACGGCTACGACATTGTTCCCGCCGGCAACCGGGGCCGCCGTGCGTCCATGTACGGACCTGGCCCCGGGGAGTCTGGCGGCGTCAGCCTCGAAGAAGATGGCAGGTACTTTGATGCTTTGCGATACCAAGAGGACGTGAGCGGAGGAGCGCCAATGCCCTTGACGGCTGAGACTCTGCGCAAGGCATCCAAGCGCGGAGAGCTGGCCAGCAGCCGGTCCACCAGGAGCAGCGGTAGCCATGACGAGAGCGACTACAAGCGAAGCAGCCACACCACCGGCCTCACAACACAATCCTCGGCAGCCCACAACAATGACGACTTCACCATCAAAGTCTCCGGCCAAGCGGTCGTCAAGGTCCCCGGCGCCCAGATCGAGTGCGACGGAGGCGAGATTACCTTTAGCAGCAACCGAGGAGCCGGGGCCGGACCTGGCTCAGGAATGCACGGCGCTTCTCGTGCTGGCAGCGACAAGGAGAGCACCGTCTACCAGCTTGACGATGCACGCAGCTCTCGCATGGACCGCAAGGCGCTGCCGCACCGCTCTCGCGCAGCCAGCCAATCCGATGCCCACAGCCGCATCTACGCTCCGATCCACGCTCCGATCCACGCCCCGTACGAACATGCCCCATACGAGCATGTTCCATACGAGCACGCCCCATACGAGCAAGCTCCGTACGAACCTTTTGAGCAATATGAGCAATATGAGCCCGTCACTTATGAACATGCTCCCTACGACCCATCCCTTGCTGCCTCCAACTTTTATTAATGTTGACGACCAAAAATGACGAACCATGTTCAAAAATTTACGAAGCTAAACTCACGACTTATACCATGATGAAAAGTGCTTTTTTTGTCTTTTCTCGATGTTGATGACATACAAACGATGTTGAGGCCACTGGTTTTGCTTCTTTCTCGAAGACCGACTGAATGATATTTATCTATTTTTTTTTTTTCATCTCTGTTTCTCCATCTCTTCTTCCATTTCTATCAGTTTACGACATTTCTTCTTCTTCTCTTCTCTTCTCCCTCACATCCAGCGCTTGTCTTGGTGGTTGATATACCCTGCCGCCATTCCATGGCAGCAAAACTTTCTGATACCCCCAAAAAAGTTGGCGATGGGAAGGATATTGTGTGCTTTCTACTAGGCGGATCTTGGTACACGTGTATGGGTTTTCATTTCCTTTTCGTTTCATTCTTCATCTCTTCATTTATTTTCCTTTTGCATACTCAGCTTTTGCTTTGAGCGCCGCACAGTCTGCAAAGAAGTGTCGGTGGGATAATCGAGAATGGATTGGGGCGGGCAGGGAGGAAGCTGGTCTGACTCCCCCAGCCTTGCCGTTTGGGAGATGGCGTCGTCTATCAGGAGGGCTGTGTTTAATTCTTCTTTCGGGCCTGGATTTAACGACGCTCGAACACAGCCGGCCTCCCTCCCGATCCACACCTTTTTTTTTTTTTTTTTTTGGATCTGGCACTTTGTGGCCAATGCCTTTTATTTTACTATTCGGGTTTGGCAATTTCTCAGTCTACTACTATAGCGGCACTTTGTGTTAAGAGGAGGAAATTATCGAATTGTCTGATTTATTCATTTTCTCATCAATGTTTCGAAAGCGATAGAATGTACGAGCAACGGGGGTTCACACCCCCTTCACTCCCTCTGCCGTACACGAGGGGCTCTTTGATTCTCAACTGGCATGCTATTTTACTCCCCGTGCTCCGGCTCCTTTCCCCTCCGAGACACACAAACCTCTTCTGCTTCCTCCCTCCGGGGGGGAAGAGAGAGAGCTGTGATTTGCGGCCACGTGCACCGGAGCCAGACTCTGATACCCCTCACGGCTTACCCTTGTGGGCTAGCACGCATAAATGCGAGGAGGGAGGTACATGCACGCATGGCTCGAGGAGGACGTGATACAATGGATAGACACGATGCTGCAGGGAAAGGCGATGATGTGGTATGTATCGTATGGTGGTTTTTTAGATTACGGAGCGGGGGGGTGTTTGGATAGCATGCGCTGCTGGAGGGATTGGCTTGACGATTCTTTCATGACCTGATGACGAACCAAAAGCATTGATTTCCTTGTCTTTTTTTTTCTTTTTCTTCTTCCTCTTCTTTTTATACGATGAAATGTGTATTTTCTTTTTGTTATCGAAGCATGTATTTGGTTTTATTTTTATATCTAATAAACGGCCTCTAGCAGCCGTCTACCTGAATTCCGCTTACACCACGAGTGACTATAACGGCATGAATCAAGCAATAAACTCCATCCAGGTTTATGCAGGGAGCCAGGCGGTGAATCAAGCGGAAGAGCTGAGAAGCCTCCACGTAGCAGTGTGGATCACAGTACGATCCTTTTGTGATGCACGTTTCCATCGAGGCTGAGGCTGTTTTGCAAAGTAGTAGCACGAACACGAGCACGAGCACGAGCACAAGCACAAGCACAAGAACAAGCAAGCAAGTACAACAACAAGAACAAGAATAGGCAAAGCAAGCAGCGAGAAAAGAAGAACACTTGCTGTATCACTACTACGATGAGCGTGTTCTGATGCTCTTGTGTAAGGCAAACGCCGTGACACCTTTACAGCTCAGATCTCGAGTCCCACAAGGCCCTCCACTAGAAGTAAAGGTGGATGCATGATTGGATCGATCGACGGGGGTGGGGCGTTGCTGGGTCAGGGTATTTACTTGGGTGTGCGTCCATCCCGATTGGGAACTTTGAAGAGAAACACACAAGAGGTACTGGTTGGGTTAAAGAAGTTGGGGGATGTTGATAAGGCTGCTGGATACATTTGATTGTTGGTGTAATAGTAATAAACTTTTTAGAAAAATAAACAACTTATACATCAAACGGGTAGAATACGCTGTTTAGTGAGGCCGTATTGCATGCAGCGATCATCAGTTTGATTGGTTCTAGCGCTGCAACCCCCCAGCCACGGTATTTTTTGCGGTTTCTGTAGGAACAACAGCGCGCCCCCCGGTAAGCACTTCCCGCCGCACATTCTGCCCATCTGCACCTCTTGTTTTCGCTAGTGTTTCCCCCCCCCCCAACTCTTCAACCTCAAATTCCGGGGGTTGAACGATTGTTCTAGTTGTTTACTGTTTTTGATCCGGTGGGATATAGTTGCGGCATCTTGCGCACTGACAAAGCATCCCCCCCTTTCTGCTGGATTAAAGCGGCATTATCGAGGCTGAACGTGAGCTGCTCGCGCATCTTTGAGTGCTTGCCGGAAAGACAATCCGCATTCCAACATGGCGCCGGCGGTGGTGAGTGCCGACCAAGGCCTTACCGGCACGGCGACCGTCAATGTCATCGACACGGACAAGTTCCCAGCAGATGGGCCTCTCCTCCAGGGAGCCCGCGTCTTTGCCCGACTCGCCAAGCGAACCAATGATCCATCCAAGGGCGTGCTCGACCCTCACGACATCAACAACGTCGGCTTCTTCTTCCTCTTCGCGCTCATCGGCATCGCCTTTGTCGCCACTGGCATCTGGTTCTTCTTCTACGCCAAGAACGGCGGCATTGTCTTCAAGGATGACGATTGGGACGACTACAAGTCTACGGTTCTGCGTCGCAGGGGACCCAACGGCACGGTTCTGTCTGGAGCCACCGAGTCGACTGATCTGGGAGGCGGCAGCGTTTACAAGCGATACGACGACGACGATGATGACCGGAGAACCGCAATCACGGACAGCACGTACCTGACTGGCATTACGGCGGGCGCCAGTGACATCTTCGCCCGCGAGAAGCGCAAGAAGAAGAAGGAGGCCCGCGAAGCCGAACGCAGAAAGCGACGCGGCGAGAAGGGCAAATCGACGGAGACTACTGCGTTTGAGGGCGTCCAGGACGACAAGGCGGAGCGCGAGGCCAAGAAGCACCTGCGCAGCTACCGTCACGAAAAGGCGGCTCGCGTTGGCGGAATCAACAAGGAGGCCGAAGGCTCTGAGTGGGAAGGATCCACGAACGCGGCGGAGTCTTCGGTCGGCGCCACGTCAGAACTGCTCGCGAACCAGGAACCCACGCCCACCTCGGAGCCACCTCCCAAGACGTCTGCTCCCCCCAAGTCGACGCCCAAGAGCGGCGGCATCCGAAAGGTGTACTCGACCGCTGACCGGAGAGAGAGCAAGGAGGCGGAGCGGGAGCGTGCCGAGGCCCGAAAGCTGCGGGCCGCCAACAGGGTTGCCCAGCGGGACTTTGGATACCAGAGGGCGGCGGGCGCGGTGACCAACAGCCAGCTGAGCGAGAGCCTGCTCTCGGGCAGCGGCACGGGCGACTCGACGACGCTGGGCGAGAGCAGCATCCCCGAGGAGGAGAGCGAGGTCGGCACCAAGAGCTACCACCACCCCATGCCGGAGCTCAAGGAGCAGCGGCGGAGGGAGAGAGAGGAGCGTAGGGCGAGGCGCAGCAAGAGCGGATACCGACGTGGAAATACGGATGAGAATACCGATGTGTAAAGGGGCTGACTCGCTTTTTCCTTTTTTGTAAAGCGCTTGGTCTTTTTATTGGGTTTTCACGCGGGCTATTTGGGTTTTTGATGAGGACTTGGGATGGAGGCGGTATTCAGTGTCTTTTTGTTACTCTCTGTTTTGTTATGCAGGCACGTAGATATGAAGATGAGATGAGATGTACGGTATGAGGGAGGGTTGTGTGTAGATGTTATTAAACGCAATGGGACATGAAGTATGCAATGGTCGATAGTTTATTGTCGTATGAATATAATGGTATTCGATATCTGACTCTTTTTTTTCTTTCCAATATTGAGCCCTTGATTCCTGTTGCCATTTGCTCCCTTGACTTATTTTGAGATGTGCAGCTAGATGTCCCTTCAATTCCCTTTCAATTCCTTTTGACAATGGGTTGTAGGAACACTTTTGCTTCAATGACTCTTGCTCTCACGTTATGCTTACAGTAACATTCCGCGTGGCTGGTGAACCGATGGGATTTCGTATCGTACTAGTGCTTTACGACTACAACTCCAGTCTTACGTGTACGCGGAGATTGGGGGTCCTCAGGAACAGGAACAGGAACAGGAACAGGAACAGGAACAAGAGCAAGTCCGGCGTCCCGTCCCTTGCAGTTCGCGTCTGGACGCGTTTGGCGTAGAGAGTTTATTTACAGTATGGCGCTTATTTATTTGTTTATAGTCTTGTTATTTCCATTGTTGCGCTGGTAGTAGTACCTGTGTGTGATGTTGATGGAGGACGCGGCTACCTATGATTTGCTACCTATGAATAGCAGTCCAACTAATCCCTGGACCGGATCAATTTAGAACCCTGAAAGAATTGCACGGGTGAAGATAACGACGGCACGCATAAGCATAAGCGTTGGACCTACCCCTCTGGGGGAGCAGGAGGTGCATTGACAGGACAGGACGGGCTTGAAACTCGCGGGCTGTGAGGGTGAAACTACAGGGGTGGTTTTGTTTTTTGGCTTTGGATTAGGCGCCCGGATCGTCCGAAGGGGTACGAGGTTTTGAAGGTCGCTTTGGATTGGATTGTACTTGTAGGTGTTTTTGGTATGAGCATTGCGAGACGCCGCGCTTGGAGTTTCATATGCGACGATGCGTGATGAGGACGAAGATGAGCATCAACTGGATGTTTTCTATGCATGAGATGCTCAGTTCAATGCACGGCTGTTTTTGTTGCTCACGAGGCTGTCATCCGCATTGCGTCACACAGGCCGCTAGCACCGATGCCAAGGCACCCGCAGGAGAAGGTATCGAGTACCGATTTGTCGGGGGTCTGGCGCGGCACAAGCGACTTACTCTTCCCCGCTAAGCTGATAGATGCTTTCACGATTAGTCCATATAAACCACTATCTGACGCATTGAACACGGCACGTATCTCCCTGCCGCGTGCAAATGCATCGCCCGGGTCCCCAGTACCTCCCTCCAGACAATGCCCGCTCTTCTCCATGGCCTGACATTCCAGATTCCACAACTTGCAACCTGCGGCCCCACAGATTTGCCTCTTCAAACCCAGCCTCTTCGCGCTGCGTTTCTTCTTTCGATCCCGGCTTAGCTTGAGCTCTCCTCCAGTTGGCCTTTGCCCAGCTGGGACACATTTTCTTGTCGTCTCTGTCCTTCTACCGTAGCCCTGGGGGGATCGTTCCAGGGAAGACAAGCGCCCATCCAGTCCTCAGCATCAATTCTTTTTTGTCTTGTTCTTGTTCTTGTTCTTCTTCCTTTTTGGATCTCTGCTTGACGCAATCTCCTTTGTCTACACACAATTTCCCCTTTTCGGCTTCATCTCCTCCATTTGTTTCTGCTCCAATCCCTTTTTTCTCTCTCTACTCTTTTCTGTCGTCTGCCTCTCCTCCTACTCGTACATCGTCATCCATCTCCTCAATTCCCTCACGGGCTCTCACTTTAGCGGTTCTGGGCCCCTGCGGGAGCCAAGCGCCAGTTGGGCTGTTTAGCTGTGCCACTCGCTGCTCGCTGCCGCTCTAGTCCCTGCTAGCTGCTGTCCAGTCGTGTGTACACCTGCCGCTAGCACGAGTAATCCGCTGCGCTGCGCTGCGCTATTCTGTTCGCTACAGTACAGCCTGGCTCCGGCTCACTCACTCACTACAGCGCTATCTCCCGAGTCGTTCGCCTCTCCCTCCAGCCTGTGGCGACGCACCGCCGTCCGTGTCCGCCCAAACGCAACCTTTCCATCAACCCTCCACTCCAGGTCCGTACTTTATTTCGCCCTCTGGCAGCGGCTGCTCCGGAACGGTCCGACCGAGAGAACTTCTTTTTTCTTTTTTCTTGTTCTTTTTTCCCCTTGCTTGCTAGAACCGCACGAGCGACGACTCGAGACTTTTTGGTTGCTGCGTCTACGCCTCGACATTCCGCGCAATCGACTGCAGATCCGGCTTTGGAGCAGCATCATCCCCCGCAGCCTCCTCACCACACGCCCGTCGACAACTCGCAGCGCCGCGACCGTCGCGGCGGAGGCGCCGTCCCGTCCTTTGACTCCTCGGAGTCTCTCTTTTTTCCCTCTTTTCGCTGCGAGCGAATGCTAGATTCTTGCCTTGTTCCATCGCTTCGGCTGGCTCTTGATTCCAAAAGCACTCCATCACAATGACGACGTCACCATCTTCGGCCTTGACGGGCGTCATCATCGGCCTGGTGTCTTCCTTTGGCTCCATCGTCCTCATCTTCCTCGTCATCTTCATCTTCTGGGCGTCGGGGTGCGCTGGCTCCGGCCGAATCATTCTCGATCGCATCGGCCGACCGGGTGAATACGATGACGAACAGGCGTTTGCGAGGGAAGAGGCCGAGGCCTTGGAGAACATGGACGACATGTCCAGGACGGAATATCTGAGGGCCAAAGGTACACCGAGCCATCTGCGCAGCGTAGCCGACATACTGACCGTGGAATTGTAGCATTCGTCACTGCGAACCCTCCAGAGTCTGCGCAAACCGATATTTCGCTCTCGCAATACCTAGCCATCCAGGAAAAGGGCGTGTCGGCCTGGGAGTTTGAGCCCGAGCTGGAAATTGCAAATTGCTTCGTCCAGGCCCGAACCGAGATTGAGTTTTTCGATTCCGAATGCACCGTCATGAGCAACCTGCCCGTGCCCAAGCAAAACGACGTCTACTACTGGGAGGCCAAGATCTACGAAAAGCCCGAGAACACGCTTGTTGCTATCGGTATGGCCACCAAGCCATACCCTCTCTTTAGACTGCCTGGTGAGTTTTCCCCGCTGTTCCAATGATGGCGCTGCCTTGCGACACCGGAGTTCTAACAACCACGATAGGCTTCCACAAGTACTCCGTTGCCTACCATTCAAACGGCTCACGACACTACAACCAGCCATTCAGCCGAACCCCGTATGGCCCCCAGATTGTCACTGGCGATGTTATCGGCGTCGGCTACAGACCGCGAACGGGTGTCATCTTCTTCACACGAAACGGCAAGAAGCTCGAGGAGGTGGTTCATGGCTTAAAGTCTCAAAACTTCTTCCCTGCCATCGGAGCCAACGGGCCCGCGACAGTTCACGTCAACTTTGGTCAATCCGGTTTCGTCTTCATCGAGGCAAATGTCAAGAAATGGGGTCTGGCCCCTGTCACTGGCAGCCTGGCTCCCCCGCCCCCGTACGGCTCTGAGCAAGGCAGCATTCTTCTAGAGACCGGCACCAAGGATGGCTTTACCTCTGCGCAAGGCCGGGCTCATCGACACTCCGTCAGCGGCACGCCATACAGCGTTAGAGTTGGCGAGAATGATCTCAACGTACAGCACGGACGATCACGCAGCGGAAATTTCAGGGTTCTCCCTCCCACCAGCCCCGGTCCCGTCAGGAGTCCAACCGACATCTCGCTTGCCCAGCTCGTGCCATCCGACGAAGGTGGTGAGGCTAGCAGCAGCACACACCCTGCGCACGAACAGCATTTCGACGGCAACCCGCTTCAGCTCCACCTCGAGGACGCCACCAACCCGCCGCCCGATTATTCAAGTCCAACCTATACCCAGAATCGCAATCGCCGATACAGCACCGACAGCGAGGATGAAAACGCTCCTCTGATCCATGTCGTGACTCGCAGCAGGGGTGAGTCTTCGGCAACAATAAGGCCTGCAGGACATGGCCAACCCGCCCTCCCCCAAGATCCCGTCCCAAGTTACAGCGATGCCATACAACAGGGGGCGAGCCCGATTCGACGTGAACGAAGCAACAGCTCCGAGTCTGAAGTCTCAGTCCAAAGCTCGGAGAGCGGGTCTTCATCTAGCTGAAATAGGTTGTTAGGAAACAGCCTACGCAACCCACTTGGCAAACGAATTCACGAAAGCACACCGAACGTTTAGACCCTGCAGAGGAGTCATCAAATCAACCCGGTTCACCAATTTACATCATACGCAAGGAGTCAAGGGCTGGACTGAACATATGGGGCCAAGCTACTCAACAATGGCACTTTCTATACACACGCATACCACCACACTCACACTCACACTCACACACTTTTTTGCACACTGTTACATACCTCGCACGGGCGCCTTGGAGTTTGAATAGCATTGGAATCTACCGTCACGACGGATACACATCGTTTGGGGCTCTTTTTTTTTTGTGTGTCTTGATTGTTTTTTTTATATGTGTTAGCAGCCCTCAACCTCTCTCCGTACCTTAGAACAGGTCCGCCCTTTTATATATATATATATATATATCTTTCTGCTATGGACGGAAACCCTTTTTTCCATGGGAGGAAACTATGAAACATGATACCACCTCTTGATGGCCCTGGCGAAACTGCGACTATTTGAATTTTCCTTTGGTTCCTCTCTCTTGCTGTTTTCTGCCTTTTTTCTTCTTCTCTATTTTGATTAAAACTGTGGGGGAGGAGGCGGAAGACTGGAAGGACTTGTTTAGTGCTTTCAGGTGGCATGAGGTTGTAGATAGTTGGTTTAAATAGGTAGTAAAAAGGGCTTCAATTTGGCATTGTTTTGTCTGGGTTGTGTGTGATTTGTGTTTCATGGTCATTGTGACGTGTGGGCTAGATTCTCGAGGATTTGGCGTTGATCGTTTGCGGTGGTGGTTTGATCTAGAAGCTAACTTTGATCATAGTTTGTCTTAGGCTTTAATGCTAGTGGCATTGAATTAAAATCGTTACGTTTGGTCTGAGTCCACTGCTTTTCATGTATGGGATCATCCAAGTATTGAAACTGCGTGACCTTGTGTGAAGATTTGTATGGAGAAAATAATACACATCTCTTCACCCTTTATAGGTCTAGGAAGAGGAGGATTAGATGAATCTAATCACTTTGGATCGTGGATAACTATTCCTTTGCATATTTATTCATGTCATTAGGAAGAAGGGCGTTTTATTCGACATATTGAAGAGATAATTAGCTAAGCAACTCTCAAAAACAGCTGTATTGTAATTGCTCTAATCTTGGAGGGCAATCCACGGCACTCGGGAAGAGTTCCCGCTAATATACCATCGCTACAGATGAGATTTCAAACACATCAGACACACACACACCAAAAAAGCGTTTAGATGATCTCATGACTCTTATACACTCTATTTGAAACACTTCTGAGTTGGCGACAGTTGAACTGTTGGTCGATATGTACCTAGTGTAACCTGCATGCGGCTTGACATTGCAGGAATAGCTGCCTAACCCCTCTATGCTCTGGGTGGCAGATGTCTGGTCTTGATCAGTACAGGTATTGTTCTGCTTCAGGTATATATATTGATTCTACACTTACTTCTACGGGGTTTGAACACGGCACTGGTATTAACACCGTCGACATAGTCGCGCTACAGCCAGAGCTCTAAATGCCACCGGCGCCGCTGGTAGCTTCGCAGTCTTCTGCCTCTTGTCGAAGCCGTCCCTGTAGACATGGTGGACGCGAAGAGTTATACAGTTGGCTGGCTCTGCGCTTTAAGCACGGAGTTTGCGGCTGCCAAAAGCCTTTTGGATGAGCAGCATGAGCAACCCACGAATGTTGGCAAAGGAGATGAGAACAACTATACACTAGGTAAAATGGCAAACCACAACGTCGTTTTGGCTGTTTTACCTGATGGAGAGCGTGGAACAACAGCGGCGGCAATCGTTGCCGCGACTATGCTATGCACGTTCCCCAACATTGAAATTCGCTTGATGGTTGGCATTGCCGGTGGTGCGCCTAGCAAGAACCATGACATTCGGCTGGGCGACGTTGTGGTGAGCTTGCCCCGTGATGGAAGAGGTGGCGTGCTGCGATATGACTATGGGAAGACAATCCAGCATCAGGCATTCCAGATCACAGGGTCTCTCAACCAGCCTCCCAGTGTCCTACGTTCGGCCGTGAGCGCCCTCATGGTAGACTACATGTGCGAGGGCCATGAAATCAAGAGGACAATCGAGAGCATCGTGGAACGAAACCCTCGGCTGCGGAGGAAGTTCCAGCGACCACCCCTCAGCAGCGACATATTATATCAATCTGCGTTTGTCCATCCTGCGGATAATGAAATGTCCTGCTCAGAGCTTTGTGGCGATGACCCATCACGTATAGTCAGGAGAGAGCCCCGAGACGATGACTACGACGGTCCTGCTATTCACTACGGCCTGATTGCGTCGGCAAACCAGGCGATGAAGGACGCTCAGGTCAGGGACAAGCTTGTTGAAGAAAAAGATGTGCTGTGTTTCGAAGCGGAAGCGGCAGGGTTGATGAACGTGTTCCCTTGCTTGGTCATCCGAGGCATATGCGATTATTCGGATACTCATAAGAACAAGCAGTGGCGGGGATATGCGGCAATGGCCGCAGCTGTGTATGCAAAAGATGTTTTGCTTCGAGTACCGGTCGAAGAGATTGGAGTTGCACAGCCGGTCAAAGAAGATGTCGATTCTATGACGGGGACTGAACCTGGAGAAACAGCTTTCGAGGGACCAGGAAGAATGGGCTTTTCTCCGACCAGTTCTCCTACGGTATGTGTGTTACATGTTGTAGAAGTCGGGAAACTGAACTGATGCCAATGTCGACGTAGAGTGATTTAGTAGGATATTTGAGCAGGGATTCCGTCGACGCGTGTATCGCAAGGGACCGCGAGCAATTCATTTGCAAAACGAGGGAGCTGGTTCGAAAAATCATCAAGGCCAACACCTCCGGGGGTATCTGGTACAATCGTGACAAGGTTTGGGAGTTGTCCCGCCAATGGAGGGAGTATTTTCACCTGCACAGGACGATTCCGTTTGAGGGGAGGTTGAGCGGCTCTCCGTCTCCTACGATGACGCGATCTTACCTGATGCGTATGGTGTCTGACACTCGTCTTGGTGGGGATGGAGTTTCTCGCCAGATGGCAGATTTGTATGATGTTATTGCTGTAATGGATTATGTTGATGAATGGTAAATGTTGATGTTCTAGGGCAAGATGATTATGGATGGATTCAGGAGAGGTAATAGATTGGTATTAAAGGACAGGGCTTAGTGCATGCATGTAGTCATTCAACCCAAAGAATGGAAATACAGCCGTTTATTGAAGTGGCCCCCGCAGCGTATTACACTAGTGAACTGCTCTAAAGTAAAACAAGTTCATAATTATGGCATGTATACATCATTCAAGACATGCTCCCAAAAAGCAATCGCTCATCTTCCATGTCCAGCAACGCACCAACAAGATGAGCCATGCATCACTCTTGCTTGACAAAGTCGTAGAGATCTAGACCGTTGAACGTTTTAAGTAGCTCTTCAATGATTGGGCCGGTTTTGGCAGCAAGACTGCAGCGAGGAGGAGGCACTTTAGTTTTGTCTTCGGTATCGGGTTTACCAAAGAGGCCTCCTGGTGGAGTAGATTTACCAAAGAGACTCCCCGATGGAACAGTTGCGCCAAAGAGGCTTCCTGATGAAGCAGTTGTGCCAAATCCCCCCGACGGAGCGGTGGTGGCACTGCCAAATAGACCACCAGTTGGAGCAGCATTGGCGTTATTACCAAATAAACCCGAGCCCCCAGTCGGAGCAGTATTACCACTGCCAAACAGACCCCCCAATGAAGCAGTTGCTCCAGATCCCCCAGTCGGGACGGAAGTGGTATTGCCAAACAGACCCCCAGATGATGTAGAAGGGAACCCAAATCTTGGACCGGTGGCGGCTTGAGCGGGAGGACTCTTTGTGCTTGGGAAAGGGTTACCATCAGAACCATTGCCGGACTGTCCTGTTGCAGGCTTCGTAGCCGTATTTGTAGATTCCTTTGGGGCCGCAGAACTCTCCGGGCAGTTCGTCTTCCAGGTTGGCTCCTTGATGTCGCGGATGGCTTGTTCGAGGGCCAACAAGCTGTGGCCAGGGTATGGGCTGGTTGGGATAGGATCCGCGAGTCCCATCTTGGACATGGCCTTGAGGAGGGCGCCCAAGCGTATGGAGGAGCATTCGAACGAGCACATTTGATCCTCGCACAGGCGTTGCCTCAATTTCAAGAATTCGGCTACAACGGTCTCAATCGCATACTCCCGTGAGTCGTTGAGTGCGTCTGGAACCACAGGTCAGCTAATGTCCACTACGACGTCGCGGCATCATGGATTATTCCAAGGGAAATTTTAATACCTATGATATCTTGTTTAATTGGTAGGCCAAGCGAATCGATCGGCCCGGTGCTCCCCCATATAATCATCCTTGTCAATAGCTGAAAGTTGAATGTTTCCGAAAACACCAAGCATACGACAAGCCTGAGCATAAAGTCTCTCTCTCCCTTTCTCGGAATGACGATGAATATGGAGCTCAGCCACGTCTGTGAGAAGAAGGCGACGACTTCGTGGCATTGGTAGTAATCGACCAAAACGGCCATCTTGGCGAGCAACTCGAGGTCGATATACCGAGGAACCTTTGAGGTCCGCCCGTGGATGATGTTCATCAAAAGCAGCAGCGCCTTTTCGTCCCAGTCATTCGCATTGATCACGTACGAATAGCTAAACTCGGGCGTGGCCTCCTTGGACTCTTTCCAGTTATTGGCGGTCAGTTTCTGGAAATACTTGGATGCTAATGTGAGATGCTTCGACGAGAGGCGCATTTGCACTGTCGGCTTGCTGTCTGCGTCGTTTGGCTTGCTGCTTTCTTCTTTCGGCTTGCTGTCTGCGTCCTGTGCCTTGCCTGCTGTGCTGTCATCTGGAGTTGAGCCCGACGCTCCCCGTGTTTCTTGAGGCCCTGTTGAAGGAAGAACTGCAAATGGTGCGTTTGCATTCTGGAGGATGAGAAGCGTATCCCCACTGGGGTCGATTTCGTAGTAGGTCAAACCCATTGTACTGGTTCAGAATGATGGCTACTAATGTAACAGCAGTGAATATCAGTTGGAATATTTTGCAGCCTCGAAAAGCAGACACGGCAGCCTCATAAGCGACGCGTTGAAATTGGCTGATATGATGGATGGCTTGATTTGGTTACACGGGCGCTAACACGCGGACCCCAAGGAATATGAGTGTCAACATGCAGGAGCTGAAATCTATTGCTTCAATTTAATTACCTGAATGTGACAAACCAATTGGCGTCTGCGGGATTGCGGGCTATGCGGGAGAGGATTGTTGAGTTGTCACGTGGGCCTGGCCACTCTTTATGTCAAGCCCACTTTCTGTTTGCTGCTGTTTGCAGCTTTTCCCTCCTACATAGCATCGATCGATCAGTATAGCAAATCAGAGTATTTGCACCCTTAGATCAAAGAATGACAGGGGTGAACCAACAAACATTTGAAGGCAGAAGGGAGGGGTTGTGAAGCGAAGGAGTGTGCCTTGGCTGAACTCGATACATGTGCCATCCATGTCAAACAGATGCCGAGGGCTGCAAAGAGTATCCAAGAATGTGATCCAACAGCGTGGGATCATGAAAACGTGGGAAACGGGTCTGGATGAGTTTGACTTCATCTGATCTAATCTCTCCAACATCGGACGCTTATACGCTTTGCGGAGTGTGAATAATGGACTTGATTTACAGATGTTGATTCGCGTCTGCAGGGGTCATCAAAAGAAGTATACAATGTCTATAGCTATCGCAGGATCAAATCCATGTGACCATCGAAGAGGCGTGCTGAATTACAAATAGTGCCTTCCAGCAGCCCCAGCTGTATGAAAGCGTTCAAGTAAAGAACAAGCCGCCCAAATTCATCATTATCATAACCTAATTCTCCAGATGCAGTCCTTTCAGCAGATATGGTCATCTACTAATATAAATATAATCAAGAGCCCCGTAACGCCAATGCCATGCGAATATGATGCAGCTCATCCCACCACCTCAAAGTCAAACCCCAGTTCGTCAACGATCTCTTCAAACTCAACCTCTTCCTCTCCAAGCTCCTTCTTCTCTTCCTTGGGCGTTTCCGCTGACAGGAATGGCTCTGCGTTCCCTTCCACAGCCCTTTCTACCAACTCTGGCCAGTAGTCGATTCCATCACGCACTGCAAAGCCGGTCTTGTGGCCAAAAAACAGGCGCCCGAGCTTCGCCCTCGTGCCCTCAACCTTCTCAAGCCGCACCAGTCGATAGCCGAGGAAGACAATGGTCTCTTCCTCATAGTATGCCGAGTAGCCCTTTTCCCGGAGGACTTGGAAACGGCCTCCGGCACCGATGTTGACGTTCAAGGTAGGCTCTGGAATGGGGACCTTGACTTCGGCGCCGACTCCTGACAAGCGACCGGTTGAATCATTAATTTCCATGTTTGTCAGGGTGACGATGTCGGTGATAAAGTAGCCCTGGTCGTGGTTGCTCCGCAGCAGCTCGAATAGCTCTTCGAAGTATTCCTTGTTCTTGAGAAGCTCCTTAAACTTCTCGCTCGGCGAGTCCATGTGCCATATCCTCGCCACCGTGGCCATCTTCTCGCTATTGTCCTCCTTGGCCCGGTCCACAAACGCCTCGAGGATCTCGTTGAGCGACGCCGATACGCCGGCATCTTTTATGCGCCGGGTCCAGAACTTGACGTTGCGCACCTGGATGGGCTTGGGGTCGAGGTCTGGGACAATGTCTCGGGGCAGCTTTGTGCCCGCACGGTAGGGGATGTGGCGTTCGGTGGGAAGGTCTGGGTATTTGACGACGCTGCCGATGAGCTTGTCGCGATAGACGCCGGCGTCGAGGCGTGGCTGGATGAGCCAGAGAGGCTTCGTCTCGTGAGCGTGAGGCATCGTGTCGGCGGTGTTGCTCTTGGTAGTTTCACTGCTGCTGTTGCTTTTGCTGCTGCTGCTGATATGACGGTCTGTATGTGAGTCGGTTAAAGGCAGATGGCGCCTGTGAAGCTGCGGATTTATAAGGACGGCGGTGGACATTGTAGGAGGAAAAGAAAAGCAGGAGACTGGAGTATGAAAGCCAATGGATATGGGTAGAAGCAATAGCGGCAGTGAGACCTGCTAGGGCTATTCTGCTGTGCCACTTTGTTTACTTTCTCTGGCAGAGCTAGTAATGCAAGTAATTGGTGTAAAAGAAGTCGGTGAATCTCGAGCTGGTGATGAATAATAAATAGTTGTTCGAATATTACGGTTCAAGACATTATTTCTAGTTAAACTAGGTTTATTGCAATCGCCGAGGTTCTCTCAGAAATGCTTCGCCGCATCGGTCATATTATCGTTGATGGCCTTGAAAAGCGGCATGTGACGTAGTTGTTCCTGGAAGAGGCCGCCACTTTTGCTAAGTTTAAGCTGCGCCACAAGGCCTAATATTGCCCTGTGATTCGGTGTGTGCTCGCTGCGCCACAGATAGCTTGAAGCCAGTCATTGAGGTTCTAGAAAGAGGCAGCGGCTATTCAAGGGCCCGGGAGGAGGCGTATTAGGTTAGTAGTGTTTGCTGAATGGTGTGTTGGTATTGGATTGTAGATTTGTTAAGAATATTCCAATGGTAGGAGCAGCAAAGGTAGCAGAGATATGTACCTTGACCGAAATGCTACAAGGTAATACCTGATTCTCTTTTAGCGCTTAGAAGAGGTACAACTTTGATTCAGCCAGGTACATGCAGCCTCCTCGGACAGCCTTTATCAACCTAGGCTATTCTTTGTCGAATCCAGCAAACTGTCTAATTACAGTTGGTTTTTTTCCTTATCGCCACTGCCACCGCCCAACTCTCACCTGTAAAGGCTTCGGTGGTCGTATGTTGACTTACACGGGATGGCTATGGCTGGCATGGAGTCTCACGCCACTCAGTCCCATGAACCAAACCAGCGACATAGCAGCCCAACCAGTTCATCCCAGAGTCTGCCTGGCGATGGCAGGCCATGAACTTTAAGGCTGGCATTAACTTGGATGGCACTCTATGTTGGCTTGATATGAATCAGAAGTAGAACTACTATATAAATTGTGTAAGAAACATGGAGGCTACTTGTTGACTTTTAGCACCCTCAGCCACTAAAACGACAAGCCCATCAGTGAATCACCCTCTGTATTTATTGTGCACCAGCCACACTTCCTTCCTTCTCGTCAGGTCGCCATCTCTCCCTTTCAGCTCCTTTGTGCCACTCCCAAACTTGACACTTCCATCATTTCGTCCTTGCAGCTCATGAGCTTCGCTTCTGCGCATTGTAATCCATCGGTTGTGAGATGCCCAGTGAAGAAATCAATCTTACGACAACATTCTCGACGCCCGACATTTGACCCAAATGGACTCGCGGGAGTCGTCGTTCAAGGGCTTGTTCCACCGCGTACGGGGCGCCTTTACACGACCAGGAAGCTCAGAGGAGAGGGGTTTGCGGGTTGTGCAGGACCCTGAAGATGCAGAAATAGAGTATGTCCAGACATCCCGTGCACTGTACTTTCACTAACTAGGTGAAATGCAGCATCGTGGCCGTTCATGGCCTTGGGGGACAAGGCTTCAAATCATGGATCTCGCTTGAGGGCGGCAAGTCCAAATCCTGGCTGGAGGACCTTCTCGCAAAGGATATTCCCAACGCAAGGATCATGACCTATGGCTATATTTCCGATGGAACCAACTACCGATATCTTGTACGGAACGTGCTCTGTGGCAGGGCCCTAGGCTTGGTCAAAGAGCTAGGGAGCCAGCGCAGTCGTGATGGGACAAACCAACGCCCGCTATTCTTCATTGCGCATAGCTTAGGAGGGTGGATAGTCAAGCGCTCCCTCATCATCTCTAGCGAGGCTATAGATGCAGAGCTCAAAGACATTGAGCTGTCGACTTGTGGAGTTGCGTTTTTGGGGACCTTGTCTCCTGGGAGGCCACTATCGCCAACACCGCTTGCACATGTCATTCGAAGGACGACGTCGGGGTTTGATGATCATCCAAGTTATACTCGCGGACAGTCCATGCAGGCGCATGATATTGAATGGTTGGAAAATCAGATGGAGGTATTCAAAGCAATCACAGCAGCCCTGCCGCAGCTGTCCTTTCATGAGACGAAGCGGTCGGAGCATGGGTTTGTCGTCGAGCAGCGGCATTCCATGTCTGGCTCGGACGGTGTGCAGATCGGTCTGTCCGCTACTCATTCGGGCTTGGTCCAATTTGAGGGTCGCGATGCAAACTACAAGACGTTTGTAGAAAAGTTCCGCGAAATGATATGTAAAGCCAAAGATTCGGGGCTTTTAGAGACGAAGCGAAAAGCATTTGACCATGCGACGGGTAAGCGCGCAGTTTCACTTTACAAGTCAGTAATACTAATTCAGGCCTAGATCAACAACTGGAATACCTGTCTGAAGGTTTCGATATCCCATACAAGCTGCCCGGCGACCCAGGTGTCATCATACATAGAAATAGTCTGCTCGAACTCCTCGAGACGAGCTTCAAACCGTCGCCAGATCGGCAAGCTCTAAACATCAGTATCGCCGGCCTGTGGGGAGACGCTGGCGTTGGCAAGACTACTCTTGCTAGAGACTACGCCGAGGTCAACAAGAACGAGCTTTCGTTTGTCTTCTGGATCTGGGCCGAAAGTTGGGAGACAGTCGTTACGAGCTATCTGGAGTTTGCCAATGACCTAGTCCAGTACTACTCCAAGAACAATGATCGGACTCGGGTTGAAAACGAACTGGGACTCACAGGAGTCGAAGAGATGCTCAAAGTAAAGAGCATCCAACAATTAGATACGTTAAGAGTCAGGGCTGTGGTCCGGGCCGTCAAAGACTGGTTGATGAGACCTGAAAATGACCGATGGCTCCTCATTTTCGACAATGTCGAACCATCATTCGATATATCCGACTTTATCCCACTCACGCTCACTGGTAAGATTATCCTGACTTCAAGGGACAGAAGCAGCTGTATATGGGGAAGGAAGATGCATATCGGGCCCATGATGGATGAAGAAGCAATGGAACTACTTCGTTCTGC